ATGATTACCTGTACTTATAAACATATCTGTGTTTGACACTTCACTGCCGCTTCTAGTTGATATAGACTGTACACCTCAAACTTATCTATCCGTTAAATAACAGATCATCGCTCAATCGAACAATCCGTATGTAGGCCAGGTGTAGTTAGTTAGCTTTACACAGTACAGGTAACACGACGATATGTAACACGAAGAATTGATATTCTGGCTTCAGTTCCAGAACTATTCATTCAAACCCTTGACGTGATGATTTTGTTAAATCTTCAACTGTTTTTACTGTCGTTTAAAGAATACTACGATTATTATAAAATCTTGACATTTAAAGCTAGATAAGTCTATAATCGACTTGATTGAGCCCAGTGTATACATACCTGTGTAGACTATACAACTATGGTCTATTACAATATATCTTACTGGTGATAGATGATTACAGACAAACGTTTTTAACAGAAAATCTTTAAAGTCAATACATTTGTACGATTCAGCCGATTGAGAAAATCAGCAGAGTGTTTGTAACGGGTAGTGGATCTATTGTGTCGTAATCAGCGGTATGTCATGAACCTATAATTCACAAACTACACCAGTTAGACATGTATCTAAATATTGTAGATAAGTCGAGTTTTGTGAGTGTTTCATTTTCCCATTAATACATGGATATAATTGATAGGGTCGTCGAGTATCAGCTCGCGGGCAAAGGCCATGCTATTTATATTAGACTACAACCAAAATAAGTGCTTAAACATTTCTGGTAGCAAACTTCCAGTACAGGAATATTCTGTCCCCTGAGTGACTTAACAGAAATCATCCAAATTTGTTACTTGTCGCACTCGATTGGATTTAATTTGACAACAATGTCAAGTCACAGAGTCCAGGTTACAATATCTTATTGTGTTAGTAGTTTTGATAAGTCCTGAGTTGCCAATGGCCACATCGTAAGTGTTCGGTTTCTTCATGTGATCGAGTTAACAGATGTCATCAAAATTTATCACTCTCCACATTGGTATTAGCAATGATATGCCAGCAGTTACCCCGTTTTCACTAACTTACGAAGCTACGGAGTCCAGGTTACGATATTTCATTGCTATGGTACTGTTAATAATTATGAAGTGGCCTGTAGACACATACTACGTGTTCGGTTTCTCCATTTCTTCCTTCTAGTTGGTAGGAGAGCTAAGATCTATTAACGATCAAAAACGTTAAATCTATTAACTGTCATGCTTCATGGCAGTAGGTGTGGTTTCACAGAAATTCTTTGTTCCATGCAGTTATTAAATATCATTTTATTTCCTATTACATTTAACTATAATCATCATCTGTACTGAGAAATTAAATCGTATCTTCACCTACTTATAATAATAGAATCTTATCATTCTAAAACGGATGAGTTCGAGATGTCATGATTGTTTTCGATCTTCAATACAAAGTTATCGATTTTAACGCGCGTCTTTACTAAGCACGTTACTTATTGTTGACTTGTATATCTAAGTGTAAAGATGTAGTTATTTAATATCAGGACTAAAGTTTACCGTGGTTGTATATTACCCAACAGTATAGATAAGACATTATTAAGTAACTTTTTACACAGGGTATTTCTGCTATGGGGATGTTAACCTTGGTTGAAATATTTTCTGTGGAAGGCCAGGTCGTGTCTTTTGAGGTATATATAAATAAACACATTCATACCAGCAGGTATTTAAAGATTGTCAGTCTATAGAATTAATCATGCGAATTTATTATTATTATTTGGGAAGTAAATCTGAGTGTTTTGTGTCGTTCTCTTAAGTCAATATTTACAGATTAAAACGATTTCATTTTCACCACTAACATGGAATGCCTTAAGAAAATCTCTGTTAGCCATGTGTTGAGACTGATTCACTGTGTTATGATGAATCGTTATTATTAGCACAGGGCGAGGCGATAGAGTCGTCTTTTGTTGTGAGATAAATAATAAACTTGTCTGGTCTATTAATTTATTCCTAAATACAAGTAAACGTAAAGAGTTGCGTGTTGTATCGGTATTTAGATAAAATATAATGGCATGGAGTACTGATAACATATAGCAAATGTAAAAGGTGGTGTGAATACAACAAATCTGTAATTAAAAGTGGAAGTTTGGAGAAGAAAAAACTCCGTTTAATACCTCTGAAAGGATGTAAATGACTGCACTTTTTGAATTTTGAAAACACGAATTCAACTTGATTGTAAAAAGAGATTGCTTTTTATCTATAGCCTGTTTCTAAGATACATTTTCCTTAAATATTCTACATTTTCAGTTACACATGTTATTACTTCATATTCTTCTCCAAGACTGGAAAGCTTTTCTTTACTTCGATATCTCTAATGCGATTTTTTCATTTTAGTACCACCAATCTTCGGGTATTTATTTGTCGAATTTCATTTTGTTCTCAATATCACATTTTATGTAACCGACATCTGACAATTAAATTTTTAGTTTGAAGAGATGTACGTCGATAAAGTGTCTGCCTAATGGTCGCCAACATTATCTCATTGGGAGTTACTCCTCGTGTGATGCGGGGTACTCTTCAGTATGCCTTGTAGTTGCGTTGTTGGTGACCATGCTCCCGTTTGAGAACATGACATTACTTACTTGGTGACTAATATTTACACGGAGGGCGTCATCAATGAAGCATTAGATGCCTACACTCCCAGAACACATGGTCTTTTTATCCTCATACTATTTCAAAGGCTTCCATGTATTTTATAATTCATATTTTCCCCACGTTTCCTGAATATTTGAGTATTGAATTAAGATGCCTTTAACATGTCGGTATTTCTTTGTGCTATGTGACGCTGAAAATGTTTGATGCTTTGATGTTTTATGCATATAGATTCCGTTGTTGTATGGCTTGTTCTCCTTTGGGAACCTGACATTACTTACTTTGATTAACTAAGATCTACATATCGTAGGTGAATCAGATGACACGTGCTCTTCTGAACTAACCTACGTATACCTTTTCAGGAGTTTACATGTCAATCTTCTTTTGTTCCTTTTTTATCTCAGTTTTATTTGAATTATGATTCTGCTGATTTGATGGCATTTTCTTGTTGTTATTTTTTGTTTCAAAGCAATCGCTGAATAAAATTTAACATGCCACTTACATATTAAAAATTATAATTGATATTTCAGAAAAAGCAGTACTCGGCCCATAGCTGATCTAGAGACTTGTACAATATTAATAATAAACTGTACGATAGTATGCCTTTTGCTACCGACAGCTTTAACTTGTGTCGACAGTGCAAACGGAAATAAACCTGCTAGCCACTTTGGCATTCACATCCTTTATGCATAATGCGTTGGGGAACGTTTTATCGGTATGTATGTGTTTTTATTTCACCCCATAGCGAATCCCTCACCAAACCCCCCCCCCCCCCCCCCCCACCCCAACCCAATCCATTCACACACACAAACACACATACAAAAAAACAAAAGACTAAAAACAAAAACAAAATCAAACAAAAAAACTTAGTTTTATTTTCAAATAGGACAACTAACGGAGACTACAGGTTAGTTACACCAAACTCTCCTTCAGAATGATAGTATACATGTTTATATAAAGACGACCGTTAAGTGCTATAATGTTAAAATAAAAGCTATTATGTAAAAACCGTACGTCGATAGAACTACTATTGAAATGTCACGAATATTTGTTTTGTTTCTTCCTGTCCTTCCGCCGTTGGTGAATAGCTCCTTTGTTAGATATTGCATTGATGTCATGAATAGAGAGTCTAGTAATTGAAGTATGAAATTGATTTCTAATGTTAACTCCGTCCAGGGATTGAATGAAGTCACTTAAACTTTAGGCAAGGGTCATTGTATGACATCATAATTTTGTTAATCTGTGTATTTTAATCAATTTCTATACGTTAATATGACGTGAAAAGACTAAATAGCAAGCCTTATCTATACATATACATTACATAAAGACTCACCTAAAATTACACTGTTGTACATCTCATATTTCTTTTAAGTATGACATAATGTAATGATAAATGCCATGACGAGATGATAGCAGGTCTTTTGTGGAGGTCATTTTTAAATTTTGAAGTGCCCTTTAAATTGTAAATGGCACAGAGAAAGTATTTATACCAGTGTTTGACATATAAATAGCACAATTGTGTTCCATGGGAGTTACGTGTTAAACAGATCTCACATTAATATAACTAGATGATTTACATTTGATTAACGAAGGTAGAGTTTTGTTAGCATAAATTTTCTAATCTGTTGGATTTTGATCCTCATAATGAACAACTGATTTACAAAGGCCACTGCAAAAAATATATAGGTTCTCAGTACTAGAAAGATTATATCGGTTATTCTATATCATCATGGAGATGTCTCGACTATACTGTGTTCACTTAATGAAGAATGAATACATGCAAGTTTTCTGACGCTGTTTTCAGTAGCTTCAGAATTATTTCCTGTAGTGATGCTGTCAACATTTAGGCATTCTATGATTGTTTACTAAAGCTTATTGATACCGAAAACAATGTTTACCTTACATAATTTTTTTATACATTAAAAACAGCGAAGGATATTAAGAGCGCAAATCTGCAAGTTCTGTAGAGTTATTGCCCTTTGATTGTTAAATTGCAGTAACCACCAACATATATACCGTGATAAACGGAAGTTCGTGCAATGTTCTTTAAAAAAAGTTAACCGTCACATTTTTACTTACCTGAAAAGTGACATGTAATGATGTTCATTATTTCATCTTTAATAAAGAATTACAAAGTAGAACAAACACTTATCCTGTATTTATGACGTTTAAACTGATCCATTGCTGGAACACGTAGTTTTATACATTTAGTGATATGTATTTTTAGCTTTTACGGTAAAACTATAATCAACCACTGAAAAATACATATACTGGAAATAGACTAAACTAAATCAATTATGAAGTTGTTCTGACTTTTTATTATTCAATTAGTTAATGACTAATGAACAGTTAACGTCAACGAACAGGTGATTATCACGTGACTCATGGAATTCTGTAGGGATATTCCGAGCAAACATCCAGTGGTTCTCTCGGAGGACATCGATACATTCTATTGATAATGTCTTCGTCCCTTCTACTCATAGTTGGTACTCTTCCTATTACATTGAGGTACTTCTGTTTGTTCGTCTCCGGTATCGGCACTAATGTGTATCCGCCATTCTTACTGAAAAACTGTACCATACAAAAGCGATTATCATTAAAGAAAAGTACTAGTAATTAGAAAAAAAGAGTGGAGCACCTGTTAATGAAAAAAAAATGCATCACACTGTTGTGAGGTTTCAGACCGGAATTATTGAAATAAAAATAAAGAGGAAAAAATTTCTCAATAATTCGATATGGTAAGCGAATGGATGGTAAATTACGAAAAAAGTCAAAGATTTTTATATAAACTCTGTACTTAAGATAGATTTCTTTATGAACATGTAACTGTCACATTCTGCAAACCATTGGCAGTGAGTAGTACTATTTCCTTTTATCAATACCTGAACACACATACCTTATTGCCATAATGCATCACACTTAGGTAGTCGTATTTTATCGATCTAGAATCGATAACATCATGACCATATTTATGGAAAGCATAATACCACTGGGGTTGAATGTTGCCTCGTCTAACCTCTACGTAATAATCCCGGTCAGGTCGTGATTGTTCGTGGTACAGTCCAAGGGCGTGCAAAAACTCGTGCATAATGATTCTATGCTGCAAGGTGAAATATCACACCAGGGTCTAACTAAATATGTTATCTTGGTTCAGTTATAAAGTTATGTTCTATTACATACATTAAATACTTTTATGATATATAACATAAAATTTATCACGTAATGTTCTCAAGTAATAGTTATGATGTCATGATTATCACATATGATATATAAAGATGTGTACTTCAATGTCATAAACAGGGGGTATGTGATGAACACATTGAAATGTAGATTACTCATGTTACGTTATCTCATGACAACATGCTCCTTTGATTTCTAACAACAAACTCTTTGCGCATGCATTTTTTTTCTTAAATTAATTAAAAGAATTTTTTTCCACAAGCTTTGATTGGAGAGATAATAATTGAATAGATAGAAACATGTCTTAGGAATGCAATGCTCAAGCACTAACGCTAATAAACGCTAATAGCACATTAGCCAGTTGTTTTTTTACCTTGTCCGCATTTGGGAACGTGGCATTACTTTCTTGGCGTGACCAAGATTTTAATGGCAGGTGTCGTCGACGAAGCAGAATACTGTTACTCTTCCTGAACACCTGGTCCTATTTTCCTTGTATTTGTTTAGGGGCCTCCGTATTATTTTTTTCTTTTATTCAAATTTGATTGAATTTGGGTTTAATTTGTGCCTCTATTGACATGTTGTTTGAAATCTTTAAAGTACACAATTTATTCTTAGTGTAGATCAGCATAGAAATGTAGTTGAAGACAACAAAAACACTTCTACACTGTGTAATAGTTTCATTGGGAATTACTTTTCTCTTATTGAACATACGGGAGCTTGAGTAGAAATATTAACCACGTTGACGTCAATATATGAAAAGATTACAGTAGTAACATGACGACTTACGATTCTACATCCTAGAGCTAAACTCAATATCTGCCCGAAAGTGCCGTCCGGGTGTCTTAGCACACCTACATAGGAAGCACACCTGTCAATAAACCAAACACATCATATACTTGTAGATATTCTTATACATACGTTTACCTATCTTAAACTAATATATCTGAAGGTATAGATGGCACATTTTATTAACAAAGACACAAAAGATTATCGCCTTCTTAAGGAGTATTGACGACAGCCTATAAAATTGTGAAATGATTTGAAATAAAATAAACTTGTTTAGGTAATGATATCCAGCAACAAAACCATAAGCAACACTAAATCATCTTTCTCGAAAGTGTAAAATAGAAATAGTTACCCTAAATTATCTGTTATACGGACATGTGGTACATAGGGATTTGCTTTCCCCAGAATCCGGAAACAAATACAGGTCCTCTCGGAAATTTCATTAAAAACTGCAGCTATACTTTGTTTGTCCCGCTGACCTGATAAATCAAAATATGTTTATGGTCAAAACTATATACTGTACATATGTACTGGCATATATGGTATGTAATATGCTTGTGTCTGGAGCCTTTGTCGTACTTCAGGAATATTGTAAATTGAAACTAGATAAAACAAGCTTATTCATAAAATGTTTTCGAACGAAAAAAGGCCGTGCAAATGAGATAAAAAAAATCAGGATATTTGACGGTTTTCCGTAATCAAAAAATGAACGAACAAGCTTTATTAAATGTTTTTATATCGCAACGAATTCGTGACATTTCGGTGATTACATTGGCAATTTGCACTGACGGATACAGTGCTTGAGATGGTAACAATATAGCAGAACACCAAAGTTGAAAGAAGAGATGGTGTTACAGTAAAAACATGTTACATTGGGGGTTGTCCATATATACATTTAAGCTTTGAATATTTAGGAAAATCGGGTTTTCTTTTATACCAGCTTGAAACTAAGAATATTCCTATCAAAGCTTATAATTTATTGCTTGGATAAGTTTCAAAACCAAAAATAACACATAAATTTGGTAATTTGATGAGTATTTATACCTAATCACTACGCAAAAGAGCCCCCGTAACATGATATGACGTCATTGACAGCTAGTTCGTATCACTTTCAGGCTTTAAACATTCGTTAATGAGTGGGCCTGTCACATTTCAATCGGAATATGCTTCCTGTCAGATAGTTGATGGTGGGGCTACAAATTAATATGTGACAGATTGTTTGTTAACATCGTTAGTCGAAAACAGTGCTGTTGGGTTATAATCAGTGATAGGTTGAAGAAGAGCAACTTGATTTGCACTCCTCAACGGGGTTCTTTAAATATTTGGAAAATTAATTTCAAATTCGGTATACTTGATAAGGCAGTCTATGAGAATTATATCAGAAAACAAATTGAATTGTCCATGTTTTATTACATCATCCACACCTAAATGCTTCTGATCATTGCTCGAGAACTAGTTTTACTTACTGAAGCCACCGACACCTATCATAACGAAGACTATTCCATTCGGCCAATACTTCTTTGTATCCTTGATGGCAGCTCGTTTACCCCTCCGTGTGCCCCTTTAACAGAAAAAAATATCAACAGATGAAAATATCAGTAATTACGAGCAAACGTAACGACCATATCCAAGATACCTGTCAAATCCCTATAATCCCCAAAGACAGAATCCCGGTCACCATTATATGAATCACATTTATTTTATGAGAGCAATCAAGACCAGAATTCGGAGATACTGACCAGCTGTTAATCAAATGGAGTAATATTCCCCTGTCCAATGTCCGTTAGATGTATTTATTTGGTGTATGTGGTCATGGCGTACCGTACTAAATTTTAATATATGACACTAGATGCAGACTTGTGACAGATGAATTAATCAACAAAATATGACAACATATAAATGGTGAGTGATATTTAAACATAAATATAAGAAGATAATATGTGTAATATTTTTTTGAACGTGACATTGCTGAGATTGCACAAAAGACACACAAGTGAAAAACACCTTTTCATAATTTAGAATGTAATAGGGTAGAGCCAAACATCATACAGCTTCCTTCTAGGGGTCGTCATTGATGCTAAAAGTTTGATGCCTAGGAGGTGATTAAGGAAAATCAAGTGATCAAAAGCAAAGCCAAAATCTAGACAAGCAGGCACAGCAGCCCCACAAGTAGATACATTTCCTAAGTTTCATACATCAGATAATTGTAGAAAATCGTCAAGTACCTGTGTATTGCAGAATACATTTAAACCAGCAAACATGCTTAAGTTATTCATCATTGTTGATATAGTGACGTGCAGATTTTAATTTTGTTATACCTCTCACACTTTGAAGAGTATAAAACATTTTTCAAAAGTCTTTATTTGTTTAATAAATATCATATATATTGTTTCCATGAAAACATGATATTCCCCTACACTACACCCATTCTATACTTTGAAATCTTAAGATTCAATGTAATTTCAAGTCCTAGATGTAATTCATGTCTTGCATGCTTAATATTCTCTCATGTTATACCGCCCTGTTTCAATAGAGCTCCGTGTGGATGTTTATTATGTTTCCTATTTGGATTGATGTCCTCTGCGCATATTCCACCTCTCTAAATCAATATATAATACATAGGAAACCGTCAGCATAATTCTTATTCATACGTCTCTGGAATATCGATGAAATTAAAATGAAATAATGGATGATTCGATTGTCCTCTGAAATATTTACACATTTCGTCGAATCTTTGCGAACTCGTCCAGTGGTATGATCACATCTCCGTCAAATAGGATAGAATTTCCTCCCCGAGCCAGAACAGGTGCACCAAATGGTACTGTTGAGTTGAAGGCTGAGGAATTAAAAACTGTCGATATACAATGATGTAACATTTAGATAGCAAAGGATAACGTAAGAAATTATATAATACAATCCAATGTTTTCAATTCAACGATGGAATAAATTCAATTTGTCTATAGGAACTAGGGCACTTCAGATAAATTTGATAGTCACAAATACGTGTAAGTAAAACAAAAAGCGATAAGGTATTTATACTAAAGTAAGTACCATGAACATGGGGTTTGATGGACCAAAAATAACAAAAAGAAAATGCCCACGGGTATGAGATTCGGGCTAGGTCTCCAATGATAATCGATATGTGTTGGCTTGTTACCTGCTTGGATGAGTTCGTCTATAGGTATGAGACCGGTCCTCAGGTTTGGATGTAGACGATTCCGAGCATGGTTTATCTACAACACAATACAAAGTGAGTTTGGTGGTTATTTCATTTAGAAAGGTGGATATTGTTTACGTCTGTAATCAGAAAAATAGAAATACGCTCCATTTTCTGCATCAACATTTCGTAAAAAGTATGTTTCAATATGTGTTTCATATCTACTTTCATTACTTCATTCTTTTTCGCTGTTTGATGAAGTTGTTCAAGCATTGAACTGTCATGACTTGACTTTTATGATCGTACTGAACGACAAAAGCTTTGCAGGCAAACATCGCATTGTGATGTCACTTCTATAAGTCTTGATAACAGGGTTCTCTCTCTCTCTCTCTCTCTCTCTCTCTCTCTATATATATATATATATATATATTCGATTCTTTTGGGGTTTACATCTTAGCTTTGATTCTATCGAACACTAAACATGGACAAAGGATGTTTGTCTATTTTAGCTGAATTGTACAATATACTTCTGTGGTAGAAAGTTTGTTGATCAGGTTTAATTCACAATTACCCTTCACTCTGATGGTAGGCTCAGTGAAACTACTTCATTTTAGTGGTTCTGATGTGTGTTTAGTTCGTTATTACATTCCTTTGTATTGAGAGAACAATCGAAAAGACATGCATCATGCCTTCTCAACCTTAACATTCGCGCGGATGCCGATATCATTATTTTGTCACAGCCCCCTGAAGTTGCTAGAGGACAAAAGTGAGATAAGAAACTTAACCAACCAATGACGACTTACTACTTAGTGAGATTTCACTTAAGTCCAATGTACAAGTGTTTTCCGTACACTGAAGTGACCAAATACTTCGAATTTGACGGACCCTTCCAAAGCCTCTTTGAAGTTTTCTTCTGACTAACAACCAGACATTTTCAATGCCTGGTCTCTGGGCTGGTTAACTAATTACTTATTGTATAATCCCAACTATCCTGGGTATGACGTACACGTGGACGGGTGTATTGTCGTCTTGTAATGTCTAATTTCCCGAAGGAGATGAAGAAATTACACTGGCCTTAGATCGTTTGCCATCCAGAATATCCTGATACTTTACGTCATTAATGCTGTCGTTTATTGCTGTGATAACACCATGCCAGATTATTCATCCCTATATCAAAACGGTTAACAACGACGCGGTGATACTAAATCTGGTCTCCATCCTTTCCACAACAGTATACCAAACTTTTGTTTACGAGTTACCTCCCTTACTACCATTTTCCTTTCTGTAACGTGCCTGTTATAGCCATGTTTATGGAGAACTGTGAGGTACATGAAACAACCAGTTGCTCTCTGTTTTCATTTAACTTGTTAGTAATATTCCCTAACTATTCTTAGTATTTTTTCCCTAAAATTTTCACCTTCTGTCGTCCAAGTTTGTCACTGTGATTTTCAACCGGTATATATAGATTATTTTTCTTCAGCATCAACGTTTTTCAGAATAATATGATCTTTTACAGTTGATTTTGGTGCATCTGTATATCTGATACATAGTGTATATTTTCTCCGCGTAATTTCCAAAAAAAAATCTTTTGTGTCATATTGCATACCTTTTCGCTCTATCTTATCCATGTTGTAAACAAATATCATGTGATAGATAAAACATCACATTACGCTAGTATCTTAACATCAAAATTGAAATACCAATGACTCTTGTAATGACACAGACCAACACGTCAGCTGGGTGCTGAAAGGTAAATAAGCAGCCACCTTGTTCTAATACATTCAACAATACACTCTACATTGTGTCATCTGAATATTGATTGTTTATATATTTACAGGTAAATACTTCTTGTCAGAGCCGATCTTAAATTTGTTATACACCTTACAAGTTAATATCATATTTACATACTCAGTAACTCAGTGTATGAGAGGTTACATACATCATCAGTAAAAGGTAGTAGGAAATCCAGTAATCTTACCCGCCGTAGACGTAGGAGAAGTGATCGTCCCTCCAAACTCCCGCTCGCGATCTCCTTTAGGATAAAAGGTATCAAGGGATTGTTTGTTTGACTATGAGAAATTTGACATGCTACATTAGAAATGAAGAGTAGAATCCCCAGGGCAAGCATCGTCATTTTTCGTGAACCTAACTTTCTACTTTGTAGGTCAAAGTAAGAAACCCTTGTCTTTAATCATTTCTAACACCGTGAGTGAACTGAACCCTCAGCAACACAGTGAACTATAGCCAGCCTAATTAACAGGCGTAAAATTCGCACATGTAATATAGGCCTTTGGTTAACGCAAGTAAATTATTTTGCACGTGACGAGTTTGTTCATTCAAATGTGTCACTTGTTTTTGATATTGTGACATCGGTGTCACTTCGAAATTAGAAATGCTGTCTGATAAAGTGAATATTGCTTTATGATTGATGTCCTTATAGGTAAAGGCTTTAAAACTAATTTTTTCATAAAATGTGTCATTTGATATTTTGCATAATTGCGCTTATGAGAAAGAGCAACGATACATTCTGATCAAAATCTATACTTAAATCGGGCCGTGGTTTACTACTCATTACTTAAGAACCTTTGGTTTGATGACTACAGAAAGTACAGACAAATACTACCGTTATACAACCACGAGCAAGACATACTAATATAATACAAATTGTTAACAATGGTAGAAAAATATGAATGTTATAAATGATATGCTATGTGTTTGCCTAATGTAGATTATTGTCGTTACATCTTGTTGGATGGCATTTCTTTCCGCTTTGGTATTGTTAACAAATCATGTTTTGTCAGGTTACCTTTGTCATTCTATGATATACTGTGTTACACAAAATGTTGTACTAACCATAATCAGCGCTGTCAGTTCCATTGTTACGGACGGTTAGTACGTTAGTGTTGATGTACACGTGCAGTCAGGATTCTTTGCATGTGAGATTATAGGTATATTATATCTAAAATCCACTGTAGATATATCATGTCAGTTTGATGTCTCTCCAACAATTGCGCTCGTTTGTACTCCGTTGATATGTTGTGCCATTCCTCGCAATGCACTTGTTGATACAGAATCTTTGTTTCAAGAAGAAGTTATATTTCACCTGAAGGGATGCAAAATTGACCATTTTCAGTCTTGCTGCTCGCTAGTGAAAAATGTCAGTTTCCGTCCCCCAACAAGATTAAATATTAATGTTATACATCAAGATACCGGGGATATTTTATTTATCTTATTTCTCACATTTGTCGCTCTGTCTGATCTAGGTGCTCGTTAGGAGTCAATACGTTACACCAAAGTTTCCTGCCAGAGCTATCTTCTTTAATATTATTAATTTTCGTGAGGAATTTATTTTCGCTGAATTCGTTGTTACTCTAAATCATCAGCAAGACTTGACTACGAAATCAAGCACCAACGTAAATGCGGTTTTTTTTTTTTTTTTTTTTGGAAAACCAGGAAATCTGAACTCCGCAAAAAATATGATTTTACAATATACAAGGGTTGTTGTTCTTTACTTAAGTCAGCTAGGCATTTTGGAAAAATAGATATTTTTATAGCAAACACTGCGATCTGATCGGTTAGAACCAAGTAAAAATATCAAAACTTTTCCGTAAAGTGAAAATATCTTCACTGTAAAACGTTTTATTTCGATACGAAAAATATAGTACAAGTCGTCTGACAAACACATGTAAAATTGTTGAGTGATAGCAAGATAGTAAAATTATAATATCAATTTCCTTCGTGTATTTTCATTTGAAGGGCAGAGCAAAAAGTATCCTTATTAACACTGATATATATATTTATGTGCGTGATGATTTGTGTGTGTTGGTTTGTTTGTGTGTGTATTTCATAGATTATTCAAAACATGTGTAAACAGATATGATGATTTCCATTTTCATAAAATATATTCATGTGGGTGATGTTTTCCTGTGGGACATTGTCCTGAAATCAAGGTTTCTTTTGTTCCAGGTGAAATGATTAATCTTTAACTGAAGGTTACATTATCATCATCAACTGAAATTCTGTAGTGAAGTGGCATTGTCGACCACGAACGCTCATATTGGCTTGATTATAATGTACGAAAAGAAATTCAATACGTTAAGATATGGTGTACAGAAATTTACCGATTTCATGAAATAGATATTAATTTATTTAGATTAAATCGTTTATAAAGAAATCCTTTTGGGTGACATACACATCGGATATTTTATTGATTATAGAAGGTAGGGAAGCGTTTCTTGTATTCTCAATGACACTGTGTGGTGTGTCGTAGGGGATATCTATAGGAAAGGGTGATAACATTGAAATACTGTTAAATGGAGAATGTAATGTGAGTAAAATTAATTTCCATTTGACTTTGTCCTTAAGGTATTGTTACACGCTTTTGATTAAATCTGTTAAATGGTGGTAATGAATAGGGATTTTACAATAGAAACATTCAAGTCTTTGTACCATTATAGTCCAACGTACGCGGTTTATCATAAACTGATACATTTGCTAAAGGTACAGAGCGGTTTCAGACGAAAAGATAGAATCATCTAGAGGTGACGATACAACCTTATGCGGAGATGGGTCACAAGTTTTAAGACATTTGTTGAGGTTCTAGTAGAAAAGAAGGAACTCTCTAGAGGTGTCACTACAACCTGTATTCAGAGATGGGTCACAAGTTTTAAGACATTTGTTGAGGTTTTAGTATGAAAGGAGGAACTCTCTAGAGGTGTCACTACAACCTGTATTCAGAGATGGAGTACGTGTTTTAAGACATTTGTTGAGGTTTTAGTAGAAAAGAAGGAACTCTCTGTAGGTGTCACTAAAACCTGTATTCAGAGATGGGTTACATGTTTTCAGATATTTGTCAAGGAAAAGCACTAGTATCAAAGACACCAACCAGTTATGAACGAATTTCAATTTCATTAGGAAAAAACGAACTGAAGACATCATGCATGAAGACAAATGAGCGATATCGGTCTTTGGATGGTATCAATAAAATGTATCGTCATGGATATTTTTCTTCAAACATGTCGACTTCTAGATTTCCAGCTATTCTTCCAAAAACTCTTTCAACCAGGAAAGGACCTCTTGTTTTGTATGCGGATACATTGTGTACATATAGGCACAATAATCACAAATACACAACGATTACAAAGCTCACATCTTCTACAGATAAATGTTCAAATTACAGACAACATTTTGATCTCTGCTTTCTCCCAGAGATAAAGGACGACGAAAAGTTACACAAGTGAGTCTCTTACACGGATATTGTTACTGTAGCTGTACAGATTTTCTTCAGTGTTGTGTGATTTACTATTCCAGTATTCATAATTGGATTGGACAAATTGAACAATGATTTGAAGGAAGAGGAAAACGAACAACAGATATTGTGATAACTTCGATATGGCTTATTTTTATAGATGAGAATGTCGTTCATAGTTACATACATGATAACATCCACTTATTAAACACACGGTGTATTGTTAATATTAAAGTAGTTTTATGACATTATTGTTAGGTTTTACTGATGTAGCACGTAGAGGTAATGTAAACGCTGTGTTATGTCTTTAAATGTGATTAAGTAATTAGCATAACATATATTGTTGACACATTCTATATTTACTACGTGCCAGGAGGCATACTCTACATAACAGGTCCCTTACATAGTATTACACTGTAGTAAATAAAGTAAAAGTAGATAAAGTATAACATAACAAATCTGTCCCTACAATGGTAACGCTTCAACTCTGTACATTACCTGTCAGTGTGGTAACTATTACCCCTAATTAGTTTTCCAATAACATATTTGTTTCCCAGGGAAACTGACGTGGAATTGAAATGTTTTATCATTAAGTCCTCTTCTTTTTGGTGGTTACACATTTTTGAGGGAAGGTATACACCGTTCAAAGTTTTCATTTATTTTCGAAGAAGACAGATAATATGGTAACGTACATATCCTACCTCTTATTAATGTTGTAATTGAAATTGTATCCAAAGAATCTTGGTCGCTTCCTTTCGTTTTCTCTGCTTTTAACTTATGAATCTTATATTCTTTAAAATGACACGAAGACGCATACGTTTTACTCAAAATATGTTGGCACCAGTGAACGATTTTGTATTTTCGTGACACAATAAGTAACGGAAGAGAACATTTTCAGCATTTGTTTTGTATTACAATTAATAAAGACTCCTGTACACTTTCTGAAATCAAGGGTTTGTGTGTCATTTTTAACGTGTAATGAGAGTCATATTATCACGGACGTTACCATATTGTAATAAAATACGTATCTGTACATCTGTGCCAAACACAGATCAAAAGAGGTCATTAAAGTGTGGTACACTTGTTATCTATAAATCGTAGTGCACTCATCTTCAGCACTAAAGCGTGTTTATTCGTTTTCATGAAAGCGTGATGCACATATCATTATTAAACGTCTCTTTTGCCAGTTGGAAAATACACATTTATGTGTATTGAAAGGGTTTTAACGAAAAGAATGAAAGGAATTTAAGCGAAACAAATCTTTCTGAAAGTAAAAAGGAACGATTTTGCCACTTTAGATAATCAAATGCATTTGAATTCAAAACACAATATCAACACTACGTAAACCCATCCTTCCCAAACTACAAAAATTGACAATTAAGGGATTTTAAGATGATGACACTAGTAGGCTAAACAAGTACAAACTGGAAGAGATTTCTTCATGACTGCGTTGCACAATTCCTGTTGTTGCTGCAACCCATTTACTACGTTTGGTGACACAGCATTTGTATCTTATCAAGGTGACGACAATTTTTACTTTGATGCTAAATATGTTTTGTAGTCAACATGAGGACGAAACATGGAATCATTACTTTGGCGTTTCATTAAATTATATCAACATGAAGATTCTAATTATATATATTACAAAATATTAATACTTGTCTTGTCATCGCTGTAAGCCAATTGCCATTGTTTTGCCAGTGAAAGAAAAAGATATGACATTTGAAAAAAAGGTACACCAGGTTATATGTAAATCAACAATATGGACATCATCTTCTAGGTTTAATTGTCCTTATTGTGTATTAATAATTGGTTAACTCAAATGACGTAGTTAGTACATTGTAACATCATACTAAGTAACCTCGGTACATAGTATCGTCTGATTGAATTATCATATTGTTTTCGTTATTGTCGTTTAACCAATTTAATGATATCTTAGATAATGTTATAGCTTGGCACTCTCAAATTTAACGAAGCTGAAGACCAAATTACTCTCTCAATTTCCACACAAAATTTAGAGTAATTAGAACTTGATAAAGCATGACAGTATGTAATTTCATTTTGATTCGATATCATAGTTCTGGACACGACTTGAGCAGGCAGATCTAATAAACCGTTTGAAGTCTCCTCCGAGTCTTGGGATGTCCATTACAACCATTATTGCGGCAATAGAACACATAATGGCCGCTCCGATATAACCGATGCTCTGCGCAGACGCACGATCATCTGGGGTACTCACTAACTTCCTCTTCCATGATGACAGACCTTTCTTGCTCACTGTAAGTGTCTGTTTAATTTCGTTTATTTTTGATTCGAGTTGTTTTGGTGTAATCGTAGTGTTTGTTACGTCACCACATGGACAGTAGCACGTAGGTGGCGAATATGTAGACTCATAAACAGATGACGTAGAACACATGCCTGAAAAGTATGGTATACCTGACTGAAATGCATAATAATGATTTATAAAAATTATTTCAAAGGAAGCCACGAAATTCTTGTCTCCATTTAGAATAAAAAAATGATTCTCGTTTATGCTATAAATGCAAAATATTAAAAGAAAAATTATCTAAATAACGTTCAACACCCACACTTCGCACAGGGCTGTATGACATCAATGTATTTCAATTGTTATTCAACTTATTTTGTAGTCAACGATATTTTCATGATGCAGAGCATGGGCATCATAATACCAAAATGTATGTATTTGATAACATAAACCAGGAATCAAATAAAATCTTGACAATATTGTAATATTCTGACTGAACGTATATCATGTTGAGCACATTAATGCGTTTTCAATGCCTGGTGATTAGAACAGTATAGCTTGACTTCCTGTAGGGGTGTTGTTATGTGATAAAACCACTTAGCTAATTCTTTTTAACCATTTAAACTCAAATTGATTTGGAATAAAACATTTCTTAATGCTTTCAGCTTAAACATTGTAATATTTGCTGGTGTTTCGTGGTTTTTGGGGTTTTTTTCTGGAAGTGTTTTGTACTTGACCAATATATACCTGAGTCAGTACCAGAGGGGGACGTGATGATCCTAACATCAGTGGTCACTAGTTCTGGTGTCACCGAATGTGATGAATCCACGATATCTCGACTTGAAGTCTGAAGCCCAGTTGATTCAAAACCAGAACCTCCCAGCCAGCACGTCGAGGAAGAATCTACAGAGGTGGTCAGCATGATCTCTGACGAGCTTGTCACGTCATTTAGATACTCTGAGCAAACGTCAGAAGGAAGGTAGTTGGCGCTGTTGTTTCCATGGCTATCAAGTTTCAGAAGTCCTGATAAGAGGGTTAATTGATAGATACAATATGCAATAATTGGTCTTTAAACAAAGGGACTTCTGAAAAGTAGTAAATATCAAAACACAAGAATTCATATTTTTACAAGATTGACAAAACCACATATTCCCAGGCAGTTGTAAGTTACAAATACATATAGGCAATGGGGTATCTTAGTCAGCACAATGGTGCTCTCTGTATAAATTAATGTTTCTGTCACAGTTGCAGGCAACTTTGGCAGCAACTTTGGCAGCAGTATTTATTGGAGTATATAGTTTAGTAATTTTGTGTAGGTTTCCTTAAAATACGACGTATATTTCGTCGGTTGTAAGTCAAGGCGACATGCCTTGAATCAATAAGCCATTTATATTATATGTTACCTTTGACATAAAGCATCCCCTTTTGACCACTTTTCCCGCCAATTCCACGAAGCATCATGGAACATTTATGAGCACTAATGTCATGTTTGAATCCTAGACATGAGTCTGTACAGAGGTCGAAACAATCACTGGAATGGGTCTTACTTCTGTATGTTGCCTGGGTAACGTACGTCATATCCGGTACGTTTTGTGTCAGTGTGAAACAAGATTCTACATCTGAAATGACCCATTGTTATCAACATTAAAACATTTTTATGATATGTAGTCATCTTAAGACCGATATAATCTAACAGTTTAATGTCATGAAGATCATTTATTGAATTGATCTCTTCTCTCATTAGCGTCTATGGTATGAATTTTAACAGTAACATAAGGACAATTCTAAGCTCCACATGATAAGTTTGTAAAAATAATTAAGTATAAATTATTTCTACCAGACGAAACCTGATTGATAAAACGATGTTTTACATAAGAATGCATTTTTATATGATTTGATATGGGTTTTTCTGCATATATAAACTTGATGGGTTCCGATGAAATTTTGACTTGATTTGTTTCCAAAAGAGGTTTCTCGAACACAGGATCTTATGTCACATAATGTGCAAGGCTGAAATTTTCAAGATATGTTCACAAGTAGGTCGTTCAGAGCAAAAAAATATAATAAGCTGAGAGAAACGACACGTATCACGTGTTCAGAGCTACTAGCAACACATTGGTGCTTTCCATACCAATGCTTTCTGCCTGACATAGAAACTGTTTTGATTCCCGGCATGCCGCTGTAGTGTACTGGGTATAACGGGTGTCCAGAAGGAAACAGCCTGGTCCTGTATCTTCTCGCACTGGGCCGTAGTCTTCCTCTGACGTGAAAACGTCACATCCGGCCCATCGCAGAGAACTTTCAGCGTCGTGATGTAGGCCAATCCACATTGTCGGTCTATATGGAGAATATATATACAATAGTAGATTTAAAATAATTCTGTTATAGAATTTCAATACCTATTTTATCTATAAGCAATATTCTTTAGTTGCTTTGTTTAAAAAAAGTACGACATTGGCTAATGTGTCTTTAAAACAATTATTACAATTAGCATTATAAGAATCTTTAATACAATAGACTGTTTAATTCTTGATAAACTCTTCGTTCTACCTAGAAAATAATTTTGTCGTACATACTCGACAGTCAGTCCCACTGCTATCATTGACATACTAGTGGCGAACAAGGCAGTCAAGTACTGATGTTGATACGATCCATTGATTCTAACTAAGGTCCTATTGGTCTCTCGACAAACTGCGTGCGCACCTGCCCAATCTAGTTTGCTCATGTGGAATTCAAATTCACACCAATCCAAATCTAAAAAGGGAGAACAAACACATATATTACGACAATAAGTACAAAGACATTTGTCGTACGTTTGAGGCTATATTGGACAAAATAATCACATGACAGGTATACACAAGCGTCAAAAGCAACATGTTTTGACAACAGAATATAAAAAATGAAGGAGGCAAACGTTTATCGATGTTTATGATGTTATCTACCATGGTACTGTATTTTAGTGTGAACTTATACATAGCTGAGTTCTATTGAACAAATATTACAATATGTGAATTATCCGAATCAACAATTCAATTATGTGTCCGTGAATTCAATTAAAAGGTGCGCGAGAAAATGTTTCTTCATATGGCACCCTATGATATCAGGCTGGGTTAGCACAAGGAAACTGCCTTGGTAGGTTATTTTGGAATGTACCAGATATTTTTAGAATTGGGATAATCAATGTGGGGACAGTGATCGAGTTGGAGAGATGTTGTCTATGTTGTGAGCGGTGAAGGTTGTTATGTGCCCTTTATCAGTAAGACAAGTTAGATGTTTATTTTTGACACTGATCCAAGCCTAGTCACAATAGTATGACTGCGACACTCTTACAACTGCGTCAGTGATAGGGGTCATTTTACATATCAGTGATGATAAGTCACCGTCAACATCACTCTGTATCATCAGTCACGATCGGTATGGCAATCAGGGATCAAAGTAAGGGAGACATTACCGCTGTTTCGGATACCACAAGTTCCTGTATTACATTTGGCACTTGGAGACGTTTAACAACCATTCATAGAATAAAAAGCTTCCTAATGGTGGACACAGTTAATATACTTATCATTGATAAGATTATTATAAAAAAAAACTACTCACAGTTTTACTTTATCATGCTAGACCTGCTAAGATTTGGTAGATCCTAAATAGTTTATAGATTGTACTCTGAAATCCCATCAAAATCACGTGTCTTTATAGTGTTATAATGGGGTATTTTTCCTTACCGTGAGTACCGGAAGTAAATAAACTGCAAAACACGCCCCATAACACAGCGTAGACAATTCGTCGTGTGACGTTTCCCAACATCTACAATAGAAAAATAAAGCCCGCATAGCCATGCTCCTCATTGGGAAACAATAAATAAAACGATTAAAGCGATATTATATTTCGAAATTGAAAAATATTTGACTAAAGTATACCAATGATGAGGAGCAAGCAGTAATGGACACCAGTAATGGACACTGTACTGTATGTCATATGTCTTGGTGGTATCTATATTTTACATCAATTAAACTCTTTATTTATTGCTAAGCATTAATGTAGACTGTGACATTCACTCTCTATTGTTATATAGATACTCTCATTGTTATATAGATATTATCTATTGTTATATATAGATATTCTCCGTGTTATATATATACTCTCTATTGTTATATAGATATTCTCTATTGTTATATATATACTCTCATTGTTATATAGATATTCTCTATTGTTATATAGATACTCTCTATTGTTTTATAGATGTTCTCTAGTCAACACTGACGTTATGTTAGTTCTAATACAGTTGAGTAGTCTCCATTTTTTCACATTAATGATGAAGTTATTTTGAAAACAACAAAATATTACTGCATAGTCAATGTAAGATATTGCAGACGGCAGGCATATTCGTAATTACTTCATTTCTAGGAATCGATTTTATCTTACACAATGCTATAAAAGCCTTTGCATATTTTCCTTGTCACGAATTCATGGATTATTCATTTGTGTAATATCGTCGCGTGGTTAAGATAAAAGCAGACTTCAGTTCTTCGAGATAACGTTCTGATGACCCAATATGAGTTGTCTGTGATATACATATTTAACACATCAAATAGCTTTCTACTGCTGCAATATATAGGACATCCAACATTAGATAGAGTCTGACAATAATTGTAGTTAACGAATCACTGATATAAATAGGTATTACTCAATACATTCTATTTACAAAAAGTATCATTAAATGAAATCTCCACATGAAGCTATTCTGTAGCCGCTTAGTTCTGACGTCACCATGAGAGTAAAAATAGAACAAATGTGATTGAATTAGTAAAGCTTGTTTATGTTTGTTGGCTTTATCGCCCCATGAACAGCCAATTTAAAGCGGGTAATTTTGTAGTAGCTAGTTGTTAGCTCACTGAACAATATATGGGAGGCCCACTTGTTTTAATCAGAAATAATGTAATTGCTTGTGATTAAATCGGATAGCGTGAATTATCCCAGGTAGAGAGTCAGCAGCACTATTAAGGAAAATGGGTCATAAACTATAGTGTTCATTTGGAACAAAAAATACTTTTAAACATCATGTCCTGCTATCATTATGCAATGCAAAATATCACATAAATCCTGTCTCCGATAGACATCACTAGGCACGCTCAGCCGATGTATATCGGTCAATATCACGGATGCAGCCTTGATTGGATGATGAAATCAAACACAAAACTAATTAAGTGATGGACTTGTATCGAAAGCATAAATCTGCTGTTCGCTAAATGTTTGGAATTAGACGTATGTAAAAAATTAAAACAAAGATTAACATCAGTATGATGTTTCTATGTCCTGGTCGGTCGCGTGTAGAAGGTTGGTATTAATGGTTAATGGTTTATTAATGGGCGACTCTGCTGCATGAAACAAAATGCAGTTTAATATCTGAGTACCAAAGTCTTTACAATTAACACACAACTTGTTGTCGAATCTCATCAACTGCGCCGGCAATCAGTTATTTCCTAAACAATCACTCAGGACAAGTTATTTCCCTAACAACCACTAAGGACAAGTTATTTCCCTAACAACCGCTAAGGACAGGTTATTTCCCTAACAACCACTAAGGACAAGTTATTTCCCTAACAACCACAAAGGACAAAGTTATTTCCCTAACAACCGCAAAGTACAAGTTATTTCCCTAACAACCACTAAGGACAGGTTATTTCCCTAACAACCACTAAGGACAGGTTATTTCCCTAACATCCACTAAGAACAAGTTATTTCCCTAACATCCACTAAGGACAAGTTATTTCCCTAACATCCACTAAATCATAGCATTACATCAAGGCATTCTTTGTTACGATGGTTTTTGATTGCTAATGCTTTAGAACTGGTCTTTGAAATCTGAGACAGGTGCTTTTACGTATAGAAATCCCCTAAATCCTTATCCACTAATTTTTGAAACGATGCAGTAACTAGCTGTAGAATAAAGTAATAAACGATTCATTTATTATTTGAAATGTTTTTTATAATTCGATTTCTGAGGGGGGGGAGGGAATAATCGTCACAATACGTTGTCTAAATTATTTACAAGCATAATGTTTCGACAGTAATTTGAAATGTTTGTATGAGACTTTGTGCTTGTGAAACAAAGTGACGTTGTACCCTATGGCGTGTATATATCTATTTGTCTACAATGCTAGTTATCATAACAAGTGTTTCATATCTGGGGAAATACTTTTGAAAACTGAGGGTTTTATCAGCCATGTCTATGAGGTTGTTTTACGGTGACCTAATATGCCATTAAAACAGGAAATCATGTTTAACAATTGATTTTTCACCTATTTAGTTTTTTGGTTTCGGATTTGTGTGTTTGTTGCTTCCCTCAGTGGTTTGTGTATTGATCTACTAGAAAATATTTCAAGACTAAAAGAGTTTCTACAAAAAGTGCCAACACATAAGACCGAAATAGAAATATACCGGTATAGATGACCTCCCCCCCCCAAAAAAAAAAAAAAAAAAAAACCACAGGCAGCATCAGCAAGAGAGGACACACTAAACAAGGGGGCTAAAACAAGATCTTCCTTGTGGCAGACATTCTATCATTAAGATTGAGGGAAGAATAAGTTAACAAAGAGACTACATCTATATTCAAGCCAAACCATGAAATCTTTTGATGTGATCAAAGTAAAATTTCCATATACGGAACGAGAATACATATAGAAATAAAGGCATAATTCAAAACAAAGAATATTTATTACATCACTAACGATGGAACCCTATTTCTGGTGTATCAAGCAGTGCTAATTACTAATTTCACTGTTTCAAAACCAAACCTGTTAATGTTCTTCTATTACGCGGAACCTGTACACGTTTTGTACTGACAGCTTTCCAAATTAATAATAGTTGTACTTGAATCATGCTAAGAATAATTCAAGTTGTCTGTGCTTTAAAAGAAACTAGTAGGGTATATACCACATTGGTTAACCTTGTAGTTTACAAGTTACTAACAGAGTAGTACCATTACAATAGTGATTAGTTGCTATGTGACGTGCACTTACCATACGAAGAACATAAGGGCACATTTCTCTCTTGATATTCATGGAAAATAAAATGGTGTCGTTTGACAATACCTTTTCCTGTAAACGTCGTTTTCTGCTGATAGCTATGTATGGCTATTAGGAGAACAGCATCTCTAGTCCTGTCAGTGAGATGTCCACATATAGTTACGAATTAGCACTATATCTAAACCGAGCTGTAAGTTTCCATCTTTTGCTGCCAATGAAACGCCAAGAATATTCCAATCTGAGCGAACTGTACCTCCACATTCCCATCAGTAACAAGGAATTGTGAATCTGATTTAATCGCAGTAAGGTGTTGATTGGTCAATATCGAGCACATGCACAGGTGAACCTACCATACAGGTGAATGAATACATAGACATACTGTCAGATATAGAACAATGATGTAACTGTCATACAGTATATATGTATAGCTTATGTTTTAACATTGAACATGAACATTTTGATATAGGATTTTTATTCTAGGTACATTCTTGTTATTTCATTGTACTATATGTATACCCTCTGAATTCTACTGTACAATGTATTTCTCGCTGTATACCATCTACATGTTAGCGAAGATATGTAAATGTTCAGATCGTTGAAAATTGTTCTAATGCAGAGAATAAATCAATAGGTTTATTTCGGCAAATTCGTTGATCACTATCTTACTATCACAGGATGAAAATAACATACTTAGATGTGTTTCATAAAAGTATTCAAAACTATTCCATGGGCGAATTCACTTGATGCAGATCGAGTATGTGATGAATATCCAATAAACACTTAAAAAGAAATGTATGTTCTTGGGAAAATATGGCTAAGATTTCTGTTTGGTATAGACGAGTAGTGCAACTTCTTTTTTCTTTTTCTTTTTTTAAACATATGTTAGTCATTCGATTGATGTTATTTTTTTTCTCATTATTATTTGTATATTTATAAAAACAAAGAACAAAACCGAATAAAATAGAATAAAACCAGAATATGGAAAATATATCAAATAAATAGTCACAGCACAGGTCGTCAATCATTGGAAAAGATATTGTGATCGCATTGACATAGACTCGACGATGTAGAGCTTGATAAGTAAAATATACATGTAACTTTACTGCACCGTTGCATCTGTGTTTTTCAAACAACACTTCAAACTTGATTTCTATAAAAACGTGTTGTTTGACGTAATTTTATTGTCATATTACTTATTATGTGTACAGAGTCCTATCAATGCTTCTGACATATGGTCAATGGACCTTATAAGTAACTAGTTTTAGTCAAAATGAATGCTACAATTTATTTGAAATATTTTGACTTATGGGCGAACTACACACACAAGCTGATCCACTTGCCGATGTGTGCTGCCAATATGATGCATTGATGTTTTCTTCTGTTAGCATAACGTTTCTATAAACCTGATAATTTAGTTTTGTTAATTACTCATTCACTTATAATCATAATGTCTCTGTGCTATGCTTTGTCTACGTTAGTGTGACCCTTCCATACCAGTCGATTTATCACTCGAGTAACACACATTACTTCCTGTAATCAACATTACCAATGATAGTAGTTTTCGCAATCTACTTGATTTTCGTGCAAGATGCCGTCAACTAACGAACAAACTCATAACACAGACTTTCAACAGATTGATGAGAATTATTGGCAAATTTTACGATCGTCATAGTGATTCCATTGAGAAATATTCTATTTCTTTGTGCGATATAAAGCTGGAGTTTGATGCTCCTTAGTTTGCATGTTGGTTTCGTTTTTGTATACCTTGTCCTCACCTGAATAATGATCATTTTCATATGTTTGTATTTTCTTGTTTTTATGATGACAGCAAACATAATATGATTGTTTTCTTCTGACCAAATACACCATGTCCCTTTCTAAATTCTTGTTAAATTTATGATTACTAGGAAGAAAATATAATTCTTGAAAATGTGTTACCCGTTATCAACGTAACCTTTCGATAATAGAGCCGTTAGGCATTATATCGGTGTGATATCTGGTGGCAGTTTCACATGAAATAGTAAACGTTCACTGAGAAGGTTAATGTCGCTTTCTAGTAATACATGATAACTTTAATTGCTTTCAGAATATATTTTTGCCCAACATCAGACAGATAGCCTTTTAATGTGACAATTACAGGAAAGTGTGATATTTGAAGGTATGTTTCCAGAGGGTGATTTCGTTATTTGAATGCAAATAACATTTAAAATGATAAGGCGTTTCTCTTTGTACAATTTAGCGTTGGTAGTTATTTATACAGCAGAATTCCATTTTAAAGTGCATGTTTCAACTTCAGACTGACAAGGTTTACAACATCGGTAGATATAGTGATCCAGATTTAGCTTATTGCCGTGGTAAGACAGGTTACGCATAGAAAACAGCTGAAAAAAGCACCAGAAATAAATGTGATGTAAGTTTATTTAACTTTAGAATGTAAAAGCAATGTATATGTGACAGAAAAAGACCAGACCAAAAGGCAACCTTCAAACAATTCGCTTTCACTTCCGCATGAAAGGATTTCTGTGTTTTGTTGTCTTTTCCGTCCATGTTGACAACGCAATGGAATCTCGTTTTCAAAGGTCTTCATGATTGTTTGATACCACGCTAAGTAGAAAATTTGGAATGAGGAATTTGTCAATTTAGAACTGATTAGTGAGCACCTACAGGGTTCACCTGTAGTTGACCTATAGATATTAGACAAATCTGGACCAAGTGACACTATTATGACTTTGAATTAATTGATTTTACATGTCAGTAGTCTGTACTAACAGCAAGCATCAAATTTAAAGTTACCAATTTGGCAAAATTAGACATTGTGATATTTCAGTGTACGTGGAGCCGTTGCGATTAATATGATTATGGACTTAATTATAAAGAGAATACAGAAGATATTTATGCTGAACCTGTATTCAAACACGGAATAATGTATGGGCCTGTGGGAGTCCGTATATTGGTGTTTTTGTAAACAAGATAATGAAGGATTTCGATGAATTGAGGACGAATTATAACATGTCCTTGAACAACTAAACGTTAACATGTTATTGATATGCGTAAGTGCTTTTTATGTAAAAATCAATTCTGCATTAACCGAGTGTGCTTTTATAACCACTCCAAAATCGTAAAGCCAATTTGCCGATTTCTATGGCTGTCATAAAATGTCCATATTTAGGGTACGTGCGATAAAAACAGCTACATGATAACTTCAGTCATAGATGTTGAATAGTTGGGTTAATTGAGGATGAAGCTTTAGGGATAATGACGAAGACAACCGATGTAAACCATTTACAGAGCATGAAGGAAAAAAGAGCCTTGAAAAGTAACAATAATAATGATAACATGCTGGATACTACATGTACCATTATATAACAGAAAGACAGATATGACAGTACGTACATGATTATCAAATGCATGTGAAAGATTTACAAATAAAAATAAATAATTTAAGATTTTTTCTCATGCTCATTTATCACATGGTATAACAGGTATACATTTTTGTATCTCTATTGTTTAAAACATAACCTGTTTCATTTTTCTTTTATCACAGTTATATACTTCTCATCTATTATCGCATCTTGATAATCTTAAATGGATATCCTCATAAAATGTAGGTGGAAACAAAAGATATATTGTACTAATAAAAATAGTTACCCAATACACCGAAAATATGATGTACATATTGACATTCATTTTTTCTGGGATTTGTTTACGGAATATGTAACCAGAATATGACGTATTCATGGAACATTTCTAATTGTTATTAAAATCAGCTTATCTCGTACTTAGATAAAATCAAGGCTGGAATTGTCATTGGAGTCATTAGTGTATCTAATTAAATTTTATCATGTATTTTATCCGAGAGTTTACCAAAATTTATTAACAGAAAAATCTAAAGATGCACAAAAACATACCTGAGAACGTAACATTACTTATTTGGATTTATCAACATTTACATGGCGGTTGTCGTCGTTAAAAAGAATATGCAAGAACACCTGGTCTTATTTTCCTTTTACTTTTTCATGAGGCTTCACGTAAATCTCTCTATTGTTTATAGTTTGCCCTAGTTTTATTGAACATGAATTTGCATTATAATGAAGTTGGCATGTTGATATTTTCTTTTGTTCCGTGTTTCTTGTCTGAAAATGATAACATTAACTGTCTTTAAATAAAACTTTTAATTTGGATTTAGGTACGTTCTGATAAATATACATGCATTGTTTTTTCATCTACCACTGACCTGAGCGTACAGTAAACAATTGATACCTCTGTCTATACATTATACGCTGCTGGGTACCGTTTGAAACCTCTCTTTTGTTGTCTCATAGGTCCTTTCTTCCAATAATGCTGATATACTTATTTTGTATTGAAATTACATTTGAGAATTTAAAAAGTCGACTTTCTTGGACAGAAGTAAATGACAAAAAGCAGATAAGATATTTTATTAATTAAGTCAGTTCATTGTTGATAAGCAGTTACTTGGTCTAGTTATAAATAGATCTGGACAACTCTCTTGAAGATAATACAAACACAGGAAATATTTTCCTTTCTTAATGAGAGTTGAATTCAGCATTTCAGAAAGATTATATCCAAAATCTGAGTCATAAACATAATTACCACAAAGATGATACAGTTAAACGAAGCACTAGACATGACTAAATCAACATGCCTAGACGATATAATTCACTGCACTAATCGTTGCTGTATTTTTTTTTTAATTTTGATACATTCTTGCTATTTAAACAGCAATATTACTTAAGTAAAAAGCACAATTATTTCAATGAAGATAAAATATTTTAGTGACAAGGGCTATGAAATAATTGAGACTCAACGTCAAATGTATCAGTTATGTAATAAGTGGGGAATATACTGTAAATTATTACCGGATACTTATACGTTAGCCGTTTGGGTTTTTTAACAGGTGAGGTGGAAGGAATGATATTCTGTATAATGGTGTAAGGTCATCCAGGAAAAAGTCAGTAGATTATCTATAAGCAGAACATTGTTTGAATAACAACGTGTATATAAAAATGACCAATCGTAATGTAATGACTGTTATACTTCGTTCCTTATGTTCACGTATCTGTTGAGTTATAGTTGCTATAAAAATACATTCTAAAAAAATTCAAATCAACACTATTGTCTTTATTTGTACATTTCTTATCCGTGTAATCGTGTGAACTATTAGATTTCAAAGTCTTTGTTTTTTCAGTAGGGGGTGAGAGAATTATATATCAATTCGGTGAGCTATCTTGTACTAACACTTGATAAAAAGGAATACATGACAAGTAAGAGGTTAGATAAACACTCCAATGAAAGAACCCTTGGCCTATCTTGATCTAAATAAATGTACTTACATGTATCTAGGAAACACACAAATGCGTGACCTAGAGAGGACGAAGGTCCTGGTGGTAAATTCAAATTATTGACTTCAAATCACGTGACTGCCACGTCTTCATAATGAAAAATAGACTTTAAAGGGCATCAAATGTATATTAATTACAGCCATTGAAAACATCGTAATAAAATAAATATTGCCAGATTTGACTATGAAGGTTAAGTTTCAGTTGTAATAAGTTATGAAGTGGTGTGTTAAAGTCTGTGAGTATACCATGTAAGTTAAAAATACATAGTAATATCATTTTGTTTCATTTGTACAGTGAAGTAAGTTTCAGGATTCCCTCCTACCATTAAGACATAATTACTTAAATTAATATAATCTAGATTTTATTTCCAACATTTCAAAATAATATGGGCTTATATTATACAAAAATTAAAGTATTTTCGTTTTCAATATTGCTACAAAACTGCTAGTTGTGTCTCAGAGATAGAAATGTGACTCCATTTATTTCTTTCTTTGCGAACATTTTCTGGATCTACTATTATATGAAATGAGCCCTTCTTATCTGTTTGCTTTTCTTTTTTCAAGTTTATCAGTGGATTCGATGTACGATCGCTGTTTGCTGCCATGTTTGATAACTTACTATTCTAACTTCAAACTGCATTACCATGACTCTAAGTAACAATCAGGGATGAAGTCCCGTACTTTATCATGCCATATTGTTAATTTATTATTAATCAAGTTAACGAAATAAATTAAGAAATCGACAACGACAGCAACAGCTATACGAAAAAGGTCTCTATTTTACCGCTTCGCCACTTGATTTTCTGAATTCAATCTTGTTTGATATCAAACCATTAAGAAAACGAAACACGAAACAAACCTCTCTGATAAACTCCATCAACGTTGAAAATTTCTTTTCTAGATATAAACCGTATTTTTTTAATGATTTACTGCATCAGAATATGAAAAGATAAAAAGGTCACATATTCAATGTTTGACTTTGATAGAAGGATCTTTATCATCAGATTTCATAAATGCTCACCGTATTTGAGAACACAACACCATTGTTCTGGTTTGTACTGGTGAACTGCATGCGTTTTGATAACGGTGTTCCACCGAAGTGCTGTACTAACATATTGCGTCCTTCAATGATTTCCTGATACGGAATCTTTTGCAAAGGTCATGTGCTGACACTAAGTGTTTTACAAACGTTCTAAACTAACGCTGACTTCTACCGACTACTGGCGAACAGTATCAAGGTTCTGTCATACACGTACCGACGCAATGGACAACACATAGGCACCAAACCAAAAACATTTTTTGTGTTATAAAATTGTTGAATCATCAAATCAAAAGTATGGTTGATACTTAATTAAATTTAAATTGAAAGTCCTGTTTTAAGTCATATAGAGTGCAATTATAACGTTCAAACTTCAACAAACGAATGTCCTATACTAACGCATAATGTACAGTAGTAATGTTGACTTATTGGCAGAGGTACATTACGAGCGATACTAATATTATCTATTGATACATAACCTACCGTAAATATTATGCTTTGATAAATGACCTAGATATGTTGTATACTGACTCATATTTTGAAAACATTGATAATAAGAATAGAGTTTTGCATTTAATAGGTCAGTCACTGACGAACATTCTGATGATAACGTTATGCAGTAGGAATGACGTTTGAGAACTATTATCTGGTCACGACGAGATAATCTTGTAATTTTTCTGCAATCAATATTCTGCAAGGTGCGACATGAAAACATTTTAAAGATCCTTGAAGTATAAATGTACAAATGGCATGCGGATAAAAGATGAAAAAACCCTGTTGAACAGACTAGTCTCGTGATGTTAAGTGAACTTTAAGTAACATTATCATAAATGCACATACATTTTGCAAATGATAGAATTTTGATCTATTTTTGCAGTTAATGATCCCGAAAAGAGGAGGGGAATATCAGTTCACGATGACAATTTTGACATTATTCCACAGTGAAATGTACCCTCATGGTAACAAATCCTAGATAGTTAGCTCATTCTATGGGCGAATGAAATGACATGAAAACCCCGAGACCAGAAAAGAGGAGGGGAGGCTTGATGATATTACCGAGGAAAGGGAAGATAACGATTCGTTGTTCAATTGATAAACACATGTTACTGTTTTGCTATGGTTTCAATATTGAAAGAATTGTAATTTTCAGTATTTTTTTTTCAAGAAAATAAGACCCATTTATTGAGCTGTTCTATTGTAAGTGCTCCACGCTATCGGTGTTTTCTTAATAACCCAAAATCCCTTTTTACCGATGTATCTAACTAGAGAAACTGTATCGCTTACTGTTCATTAGGAGTTTTCAAAATTCAATACTATTGAAGTGTTCATATGAACATACGATAGAGCAATGACTGAGCTGCGGACATTGTCGTGGACATTTTTGTGACCTGAACCTTGTACCTACATAATTGTAAGTTAAAATGGTCATTGAACTGGAAAATGAACGCCGTGTACCCTCGTATCGTAAACCCACTGCAATAAAGATAATATAAGTTTTTTTTATTAAACGAATCATTTAAGGTAATGGGGACAAATTAAAATTACAAAACACTGATCATCAATATTTAAACAACTACCAATTTTAATTTTATATATCAATACTTTAATATTAAAGCATCACTGACAAGCCCAACAAGTACGAAACAGTCTTCGTAACTGGACATAACTTTTATCTATTACTAAAATCGTATTGAAAGGTGTAAATCACTCGTTTGTCTTTTGCACAATCCTCATTAATTATTTTGTGTAGATTTCGGGTGGTTGTTAAATTTATACCTTATGTGTTTGTGTTTATCATTGCTTCTTTAGATATTCTATATCTGATACATCGGATATATGTTATTTCACACAATGAGAGGAGAGCCTGTATAAATAAGTAATTACTGATAAACACTACAAGAAACTAGTTATAAAAACAACCAAGGGGATAGCCCACTCTAATTTTAAAAAGGCAACACGTGATCTTGACCTCAGTTCAAGTATGTATATAGCTACTGATAGTTGAGCGACAGTCCCTGTGTAGATCCGACAAACCTGGCTGATCCGTTCTCACCATGAGGTTTGACGACATCTTAATACATATTGGAGAGTTTGGTTTTTACCAGAAAAGATTGTACCTACTGTTATGTATGCCCGCAATTAGTGTTGGGTGTTATATGATGATGCTGGTCATTTTAATGGCAACACCTGTACACAGGTAAGAAACAAATTAATCATTTGTGTTTGTCTTCTTTGTTGGTTTTTGTAAATTATTTATTTGAAAAGTAAAAAAGCAATTATTTGGTTCAAATAACCTTCTTTTCTGAATATGAAAAATGAATCTTTTTTTGGAAATGTACATATTGTTGTTTTTCGGGTTTTCATCAATTTCGGATATTAATGGATAATATCATAAACGGTTTACAATTCAAGTTTTTAAGAAATTAATATCAAACGGATTGTTCCTTATATATTTATGTAAAATGTAAGCGATTAAAATCATTACTCTGGAAACATGTTTCCTTAAATTTTGCTATCAGCAGGGTCAGCTTCAGCCGGTCTTATCTGGTGTTTGTCCGACATGTCTGACCATCCATTGTAGGTGGTGAGTTGTAGAATCGGAATCACAAGCTGGTTTTATTGAAACAGGGTCTGTGTTACTTTGTTGCACCTGATCTGCATAGCATTCAAATATTCAAATGAACTAACAATCTAAAATCTTCGTTTAATCGCTAAAATAGAATATACAGAAGCAATTGCTATTTGAAAGTGTTATTTACATACCCATATGCACATTTTACGTTTATTTGCAGGTTGAATTATAGATACATTGTTTAAATCGGACAATCGATCTATCATTTCTAAATCCGATGAACAATAATCTTCCTCATGGTATATAAATGCAAAATAGTGACGATTTTCACAAATACAAATGACATTGACCTGACTCGTGTTTCCCGTTCCAGATGTCAGATCCCAGGGTATGAAAACGATACCTATGCTTTACAAAACGACAACCACGGACTTCTTGTCAATGCAAGCATTCCGTTGGCAGCTGAAGACGAAGATTTCCTTTACGATAAATGTCACATGTACACATGCAATAATGGGGGTTCTGCATTGTCCTGTCCAGTCCAGAATCGAACCAGGGTGAAGTGTTCCAGTTGGGTATACGACAAACTAACTTTCCACGAAACCTTCACCTCAAAGGTATGTGTATATAAATGTCATCGTACAACTGTAATAGGAAAATGTCATACATATTTATTTGCTCTTTCGTAAATATCTTGGCATTTTAAAACAATTGGTTTGAAACAAATCGAAAATGAAATATATTCAATTTCAGTTATCCAGTTATTGAGATAGTGGAGGAATTATTTCCCGTTTTTGACCCCTTGTGCCAGAATTAAAAAATCAATCTCGTCAATATTCCACGAGATAGCGGGAGCAAGTAACTAGGTGTGACAATGGAAAACGGAAAGGAAAACAAACAACTATCTTTTAACTTCTACAAATATACTCACAATGAAAATGTACTTCATTTCGCTCTGACAATAAAGTTGAAACGATATATTTCAAACTAAAATTTAGATAGAAACTCTATTGTAGACCAGTCTTCATTTCGTTGTTTTCCATAATTCTTCGTTGATGTGAGATCATCGATGTAAAGAAACTCTCGCTGATACATATGTTGAAGACGTTCTAATGTTGTTTAGTAGAAATCATTGAACAGCACAAACAAATAGTCTAATATTTGTCGCTATACTTCCCTCAATCACATGTCTAATATCGCCTGTTTCCGAAGTTCTTTAGCGTTCCTACTGGCGTGAACCATTATCATGCCAACTAAAATATAAAAAAGGACTGAATATTCAAACCAAGTAAAATATGTTATGCTTAGTTATAATTTTGGCAAGAAAAAAAGAAAACAACTGTACTTCTAACTCCACATGCCTAGTTCTCTCATTGCCATGTTTCGAGCCACCAACAGTGTTACATATATGAAAGTGTTTGTGTGCCTTTATCCTGAATGCAACTTTATCTGCAATGTCTATACAATCGTCCCATTTCAACAACCACCGTCCTTCCCAGCTGATAGTGGAAATACCGCTTAGGAATACTTTGCTTGCTAATACTTAAGAAAGAGTGAAAGTATGGCATAATATTTATGTAATATATATTCAAACTTTACGATAAGTAAGCTATCCTTTCACCTTACATATCAACTATCAACAGGCAATGTAAGCGGTACATTACTTTGCATTTAGCTTTAACATAGATGTATTCTTCATATCAACTGTTTATATCAGTTGTCAATAAACAACAGAATATACTAGCAATGGTTTCCTACGTACCAAGGAATTTCATCGTCGCTACCGATGTTGGAGACACGGAGTTATCACTGTGGCTCATGCGGGGTATTCGCTTACCTGTTTTCTCTTTAAAATTGTCTTCAAAATTTTCATTTATTATATCTATATTGTCATCGATGTATTGCTATTCCTAATTTTTTTCAATCCATCCATCCATCCATCCACTGACCTGTCCACCCATTGATCGAATTCATATTAATATTAACTAGTCATGATGTAGTTATTCAAGATTGGGCTTTTTAACAGATCTGTGTTTTCAGTTTAAAACACCTGTTCAACTGACAAATACGATAATGAATACTGATAGATTGTTCTAAAGTCTGACATCATAATCTTTCTAAAAGGAGTACACGAGGAGGTTATAGTAGTGTCAATGAGCGAACATTTTGTGTCATATCAGGACGTGATCGGTCTAGCTACTCTTAAGATACGGCCAAATGACTAGAGTCTACTTACCAGGTTATACATAGTCATAGTAAGTAATTAGTGTAATACTACAGGAAAAGGCATACATTGTCATCACATTGTCATCACATTGCCATTCACATATAATACACGTGTATATATATGGGGATAGGATGCATATTTAGCGACTGCCTTATCGCCTTTAACGCGTTATCCAAGTCGTAACCTAGACATGTCATAAGGTAACTCCATCTGTGTCCCGGTGCTAAGCGGAGGAGATAGAGTTAGTAAGAGAGAGGTCGAGTGATTGCGATTGGGCACCAGATAAAGTGATGTTTTCCCACAGTCATCTTAGTGGAAGATACAAAAAATATCTCCCAAATCTATAAGGAAGTTTAATGTTTTACCCAAACCTGCGAAACTTTATTAACTACTGATCATATTAAAGGGTTTTTTTTAACCGTATCCAGGACCGCGATTATTTTTCCATGTTATCTTTGACTTATTCGATGATATAGCATGACTAAAACAAAAAAAAAAACCCCAAAAAAACAAAAACAAAACAAGAAGTTTCCTACATGGGAACATAATTAAAATAATCCAAACTCAAATTCAATTAAACTAAGGGAAACATGAACAAAAAAAGATTTACACGGAGATCCTGAAGTACAAGGAATACAAGAACATGTGTTGCGGAAGAGTAAGCGTATTCTGATTCATCGGCGACAGCTGCAATGTAAATCTTGGTAAATCTAAGCGTCACATTCTCAAACAATACTAAATTAAGCTATTAACAAATATGTAACTAGGGCATCGCACGATTTACACATGTACGTAAGGACAAAATTATATCAGATTCAACTAGGACAAAAACTAACAGATGCAACAGACAACGACAAAATTATATCAGATATACATTATTGGTGCAAAAGACAATAGCATGATTTATAGGATTTATCATATAAAGAAATAATAATTGTACGTACATGCTTTGTCCTCTTTTCTAGACAAACTTGGTATGTGGCGAATCACTCAAGACGTCGCACACACAGATGATCTTTTACTTTGGCGTCCTGGTGGGAGATCTTGGGTTTGGGATGATTGCGGATATGTAAGTGAATCTATTTTCGTTCTCCTCTAATCAATATATAATATATTTATACTGATGAGTCTGTTAAATGTGGTGTTATGTAAACTGCCTAGATTCACATGCTAAAGACTGCTTTTTCACTATAATATGCTATAAACATGTATGATGACACCATTGAATGAGAGTCTGACGGGATCAATATCGTTAAGACCATAAAGTTACATACTTGCTATAGAACTAACACAACTTTTACAGCATTGGTCGTAAGATCACCTTGTATGTCACCATCCTCATACTAATTGGGTCGGCATTTGGAGTTGCATGGTCGCCGACCTGGGTCACTTTTGTCATTCTGGAGTTTGTCATTGGCGCCGCTAACCATGGAGCTTTCATCATATGCTGTGTATTAGGTACGATGTTTGATAGTAATTATAAGCAGTTTGAATGTAGAAGGCAGCGTGTGTGTTTATTTTAATTATTTGCCCTTACCAACAAAAGAAAAAACGTGATTTAGTAATTTGTTATATTTGAATTTGATATTGGTATGTGATATAAACCTTTCCTTTATGCAAGAAACCATGAATCTAAAATCATTTTTTAAACAGGTCTAGAGATGGTTGGACCCTCGAAACGAGTTTGGGCTGGAATCTTAGTTCATGCGTTTTTTGCTCTCGGACTGGTATATCTTGTTGGCATGGGCTACTTCTTGCGAGATTGGTTCTGGGTACAGATAGCAGTTGTTGCACCCTGTGTCCTCTTCCTGTCTTATTGGTTGTGAGTATCTATAACATTAACACAAGTAACACTTAATATAGAAGGAAAATATAAATAATAACTATTGAGGACATGAGTTCGAAGGCTGTCAATACATACGAGAGAGAGAGAGAGAGAGAGAGAGAGAGAGAGAGAGAGAGAGAGAGAGAGAGAGAGAGCGGGATGGAGGTTTATCGTAGTTAAACGAGGAGAGAGAATGACACGATGAAGACTGTTGTCTTTCATATAATATATCGAAAAACGAAAAAACGACAAGAGATTGAAAGATAACTGTGACATTAAAATACTCGGACTCTATAGATGTCATTGTCCGTACGAGGACAAGAAAGCATAAGAAGGGAGATTACATTTAGATTTCTGTAGCAACCACAGATAATGTGTGATTACAAGAAAAGAAAGATTTCAGAGGAAATTGGCAGCTGCTAAAAGCTGTGTAGGCCATCTATAAAACCAATATAAAGTGTGTTGTTATTATTTAGTATATAAATCTTCTATTTGTGTGATATCTATTTAGCAGAATGATACAAAATACTAACATTGATAATAATGTTGATAATTATTACTCCAAGTTAGGTTAAATCGACAGTGTCATTCTTTGATAAATGAAATAAACCGTTTTCAGTGTTGTACCCGAGTCTCCACGCTGGCTGATTAGTCAAGGACGCTACAGTGATGCAGACAAGGTCATCGAGAGAGCCGCCAGGGTCAACAAGAAACCATTACCTCCATCTATGATGAAGGTCAACCAGGAAAAGAACGAGGACTCAAATGGAAGAATCTGGCACCTCTTCTCACACAAAGTCCTCTTGTTGAGGACACTTATAGTATATTTCAATTGGTACGTAACGAAGGAAGGCCATTCCACTTCTCGAAAATGGCATTTCTCCGTGGTTCTTCTTGATCAAATTAAGAAATTCTTTCGCACTCGCCTCACACTAGTCTACCTTTAAACTATCATTTACCCTTGTTCTCGTTATATATAACTTTAAGTTATATTTGTTATTTGACGTTCTTCCTATTTCAATGATGCAAAATATCTCAGCGCATCTATCTTTTTTTTCATAACGTTTATATATAATAATTCCTGTTACAGGGCTGTGGTCAGTATGATATACTACGGAGTGACCATGCACACTGGCAATATGAATGGAGATTTTTATCTCAACTTCTTTCTGTTAGCTATTGTTGAATTTCCCGCCTATTTCATTTCGATCGCACTGCTCGATCGATGGGGACGGAAGAGGACCCACTGCGCGTGCATGCTGCTGGGAGGGATAGCATGCATCTGCACTATATTTCCGGTTATATTTGGTGGTCCAGGTGAGACAGAATTTGTTTTCCTCCAAGAACTTTATCCTCCTTTCCTCACAAAAGCGCGTTATGGACGTTGGGATGGACGTTTGTCGTCCGCAATTTATTGCTTTTTCTAGAAAATACTTAATATTTATCCCATGTCTCTTGATATTTTTGCATTTGTCTTAACAATGCAATCCGTCTCTAATTCTTACTTCACCCCGCCCCCCGCTCCCCTCCCGAAACAAACAAGTAATCTCCCATCATACATCAATCATAAACGATTTATGTATATCTAGTTAGAATGTTGCATTTCTGCGTCAGTTATGCGAGAGATAATGTACGATTCCTTTGCAATTGTACTCCCTGTCATGTCTTCAACGTTCGATTGAACTTCTTCCCAGACAATAATAGACTCGGGCACGATATGTCGAAATGTGTCGATATCCATGATCGTTACAAAGGTAGAATTCTTACAATGTGATAGACGGCGATGTATCATACCTGGTATATATTTCTTCGCAGATAAAAAAAATCTCTGAAGAGGTGAAAACAAATCAATATGTCGACATCTATTATGTGGCATCTGTAACTGCAGTTACCAATAGAAATGAACCAAACACTCGAGCACCTGATATCGATTCAAACAGATAAAGCATTATCAACAGGCTTTATGAATGCATTACATACACTGCTCAAAAAATGTTATCTGACATAAACATAATGCAGCATGCCTACCACAATAAATTAATTGAACATTGATAATTGTTTTCATGCAATAAAAGTAAAAATGTCAAATAATAGTAAATTTCCTTAAAAGAAGGCTAGTCAGGAGTTGTAGAACTACTTATCAGTCCTTGTTATATCAATATGTTTTGATACCTCTTTTTTCCGTTGTATTTTCCAAATAAAATAAATAAAAAATGTGCTTTCAATCACATCCATCTATTCCTTGGTATTGCCCTAATTTGCATTTTTTCTATTCCACGTGCTTTCTGGGTAGAAAGCAAGATTGAATGCAATTACTCTTATCCTGATCTCAGAATAACCAATGAATGAAAAGGATATCAAGTTGGATTAACAGTGCTCTCTTACTCTACTTTCCAGATCTGCAGCCACTCACACTAACCCTGGCCATCTTTGGTAAAATAGGAGCGGCCGGTGCATTTGGCGTAATATATGTGTTCTCGGCTGAACTGTTTCCAACAGTTGTCAGGAACGCTGGCATGGGTTCGAGTTCCTGTGTAGCACGTGTGGGAGGAATGCTTGCGCCATACGTAGCTTCGTCAGTAAGTCATGCTACTTATTATAGAAGGCTTGTCTGGTCACGATATTGGTTTACAAAGTAACATATTTTACTGGTCACGACTCCATTTCTCGAACATGTAATTAACACAGAAAAAACAGCAACTATTGATAATTGCATACCATGAATATTTAACTTAATAAAAAAATTCGTGCACCACGCACGTGAGTTAGGATATCAATCGTGTTATTGGTTCATCATTGTGTTCTTTTTGTTGCAGGGTGATCTGGTGGGCGGGAAGTTTGGGAAGGCACTGCCTTTGGTAATATTCGGCGCTTTCTCTGTTAGTGCTGGACTGTTGTGTTTACTTCTACCAGAAACTTTACACAAAAAACTTCCAGAGACAATCGAGGATGGCGTCAACTTCAATAAAGGGAGCAAGAAAGACTTATATGAAAAATCATTATCCATTTGATTCCATGTACATTACTGGTCTTACTTTGTAATATGTATATATATGTATAATCATTTTCTGTGAAATATACTTCATTGTCTAATTGATCAGTTTTAGCGTTATTTATATAAGGAATGCATCTTCTATTGATGACTTTTTTATCCTGTAACTGGTCCTATCATTGTCAGAATACACTCGTCACATCTACATTTGCTGAATTCAGCAGCGGCGGATATCGCGTGCAGAATGACTTTCTGATTTGCTTAAATATTACAATTAAAAATATAAATAACCGTTTAAATAAGCGATTTTATTTGTTGTTACAAACTCATTTATTCATGAAATAATTAAATTGTTGTTTGGGGTTTTGGAAGTTTTGGAAGTTTGGAACATTTCTGTGCGGATCAATTATTCTGGCGTGCGGCATCAGACATAATACAGCTTAACGTCAATATCCGGTAAACAAACATACGGCAAACAAGCGGCCTGGAGGTCTTGACGTTCAGCTGACAAAAGCAGTATTTCAATAGAGTGAAACAGAAATTGTGACACTGAATATAGACAGTGTCAATACATGCATTTCACCAAAACTGTCATCATATACTGATAATTCTTATAAAGTTATTTCCAATAGGAAATCACCAACGTGATGCTCACAAATACTATTTTTCTATGAAAATCACAGTAACGTCTAGAAAATATTCCTCCCCCATCCCCCCAGGAAGAAATGTGAGACCCATTTTGGTAATTAAAGCACTTTAAGATGCTTCCATCCATGAAGAGTATTTGATTATACCATATCTGGGTGTTGAGAAGATTTTGAAATGTAAGTCAATTTGACCCCTTTTGGTCCCGCCCATCAGCCCCTGGGGATCGGTCAGGATCAAAATGGGCATACCATTAAGCCGTCATCTTTCACTCATAATTCTAACCAAGTTTGAAATATTTCCAATGGAAATTAAACAAATTATGCTCAAAACATAGCAGGAAATACTTGTCCTTTGAGATATATACAGAGTTACTGTTCTTGGCGAGTGAACAGTTTCTTGTGCATGAAAGCCCGAGTTTGTTGAGTTTTCCGTCCGTTGTTCGCTATCGATGAAAAATTAACTCTATTACTTTCGGCGAATTATAGTTGAAGTATTCATGAAAATGTACAATTAATTTCTAATTTAAAAGAAAACGGAATTTCACCGTCAAAAAATGTTATCGTGAAGTCAGGAGATAGTCCGTGACTGTTTACCGAGAGTACGCCTTGCAGGGGTTCCCCTGGTTTCGCGTTTATAACTTTTCTTTTTCTCAGCCAATCGCATATTACTTTTAAAATGACGTAGGACGATTATCCATCATCTTATTATACCAACCAGTGAAATCGCTTGAATAAAGCAAATGTCGTCATTTCGATCTAATTTAATTTCTTACCCCGGTATTTGTCACGACAAATCCAGAGCTTTGCATGCTAAAATATGAGAGCATATGAGTTTTGAATAATTTCTTGATATAAAAACAGTACACTTACTTCACAATAAACGAGAAAGAACTCCTATCATGCTTAGTGTTGTAGTCAAGAACGACAACTCAATACCGCTTCAAGTTCGCGGGAGTGTTAATAGTTCACGATATGATCTAGTTTTCCTTTATAAACTCACGTAACCGTTACCCCCTCCCATTGGGAAATGTGAGACCCTGGGGCTATGAAATTCACAATTTTGGTAAATCACCCAAAGATACTTCCATTCATGAAGAGTATTTGATTCTACCATATCTAGGTGTTGAAAAGATTTTTGAAATCTGTGTCAATTTGACCACTTTTGGCCCCATCACTCAGGCCCCTGGGGTTTGGGGACTGCATAATTCACAATTTGGGTCTTCTAAGACCAGGGATGGTTGCTGCAAAATTTCATTGAAATCGGATCAGGGTTTTTTTTAGAAGAAGTGTTAAATTGTATACGGACGCACGACGCCGGATGAAAGGTGCTTAAATATATCACCATGAGACTTTGTCTCAGGTGACCTAAAAACTGTTTCGATGGTCTGAATTTTCCAGGAATGTTGCAGGATTAATAGAATGTATGGTCAGTGTCTTATATATAAGCTGTATGTTGGCTCGCCATTTTTGCTTTGCTTCATCCTCAACAAAATACACATCGTTTATTTTATGATACAGACCATGTATTCTGTATATATCACCAGTAAATAGTCACATAGTTGTCTTGTTATTCACGCCAAGATATGACTTTCCGGTGCTTTTTACAGTGTTTATTAAGATACATGCAAGGTCATAATGCACGATATCAACATATTCATTCTGGACATCGTGTTCTCTCTCTTATTATAGAAGATATGCAGTTCCGTGAACTAATAGTAATAACCATACCACGCCAATCACGACACAAACATATATTTGGTATAGTACAATTTGAACTACCAAAACTATGGAAGAAGGGAGTCTGCCTAGTTTCATCATTAGCCTCTCAAAATGCATATCTGGTTAAGGCCTTTCAGTGGACGAGTACTGGACATTCAGCTTTTATAAGTGATTTTTTTTATGTAACGGATTTTACGTTCACTATGACGGCATTTTGGTCTTTCTGCTGACGAGAAAATATAGGAAAGCGAGTAGAGGGGAAATAGTAAGAAACGATGGGAGAAAGTGGTATAGAGAAGTGTGTTAGAGAGGGGCCGTCTATGCTACCAAACCTGTTCTTAAACTGAAGAAACTTGAAGAGAACCATTGGCCTAACTATAGATATAACCCAACACTAACTAGGCACCTCACAGCAAGACGACCTTTTAGGGACAGATATGTGGAGGGAGGGATCCTTCATATTATGAATGTTTATATCCAATGATCTATTGGGGATCTGAACACTGGAAAAATGTATCAACGGAGATTGGAAAGGAGATACCTCCCATGGTTTCTTAAAACACTTTGAATTCATGGAATTCATTGATGAAATAAAAGACACATCTACTGATCTTATTTTACATTCTGACAAGTCTCGTAAAAGTCTTTTGGAGCCTGTAAAAATATTAGTTAGTCCTTCAAAATTAAAGTCTGAAATGTTACATTGTTGACAAAACAGTTGTCTACATCAAAAGAAACTGGTCATAGGTATCAGCTGCAACATACACATGTAATCTATGTACCATGTAATACTGCATTAAAGTACAATCAAGAACTGGTGATGTGGGAAAAAGAAAAACATTGTTATAGGTTTATATAGAAAAAGAATATAGAAAAAAGAAGCCTGTAATTCTTTGTTAATGAATCTCATCACTTTATTCTTGTTCATATCCTGAATAATACATTACATAATTATGCTCTCTGCATTAATTAAACAATACATTTGTGTAATGCCTTGGCAGTAAGATTCATTTACACAATTCGAGAGACAGTTTCATAGGACAAACATATGAGATTTTCTTGTTGTCATGACAACCAATAAATGCAACCTACCTCTAAGTCTTTCATGTTATTCTTAATCTAAATGACAACTTATTAGCCCTGCAGGTCCAAAATCAAACATTTCAAAATTCATTTGATTTATACAAATTTTACAAATACAGATCATACCTAGAAATATGTTAATGTCTTGGTGCTAAATTTAGAAAGCTTCTTGCATTACAGTAAGTACTGAGTCATATACCTGATATTCGACAGAAATATATTACAGCTACAACTTCTTTTGTCTTAACTCTCAGCACAACTGGATCAAAATGACACCACTAGGTGTCAAAGATCAGTGAAAATATGCACCCAAAACAGAAAATAATGGAATTTTCTACAGCATCTGTGACTGTATCCATACAACATCATGTGTTACTGGTCTTAACCCAAATCATGTGACTAGACTTAGACCAAATATTTGGAGGATGGCTCTGGTTGCATCTTGCTGTTCCATAGGCAGGCAGAGACACACAGACCAAAGTCTACAGCATTGCATCTCTTCTTGACCAAACCGACATACGGTGAACAAAAGCGGCTACAGTAGAGAACTGTACCGTTATGTCTCCGCTTTTGTTGGTGTTGAGTCAGTGTTATTTATAGCTTCATCAGGTAAGACACACTTCCACAGGCCATAAGTCTTTCCAACTGTTGTCTGCCAGAGTCGTAATGTGCCATCTTCACTTCCACTAGCATACAGCTCGCCATCCGGAGAGAACCGTACACAGTGTACTGGTCCAAAATGTCCTTTAAATGATTCTGTAATGAGACAAATACTGTCATCAACAGAAGTCTGACATAAGAGATTGAAAATTTGACGGCAACATTTAAATACATTAACTTAACAAAACTATGACAGGCCATAGGTAATTTTACTAGTACAATGCAATTTGATCAAAGTTGTACTAAACAACATTAAACAAATTGAACAATGTATAATAGATAATGTTAAATACATACAGAGAAGTAGCTGCTATTACTTCTGCTCACTATCAGAGTAAATTTAAATCGGAGTAATCTGTATTACAAGAATTCAATTCTATCTGATGTGAAAACACTTTGAAATCAAATAACATGATTTGCAGCAATTTTCATATTTTTTCGCGACACTTCTTTTAGTAATAGCTATTTTACATATTTATGTTATATTAAAGAACTACAAGTACCACAATAAGGAGTAAAGTGTACAGCTAACTAATCCAAAGCAAATACTTAAAACTTTTAACCAATTATCATCCCAACTTTTCAGCCTTCTCCATGGATTTGTTTTTTATATGAAACTGATTGGTTTCTACAAAAGCATTACAAGAAAATGTTGACACACCATTTATGACTGCACCTTTTAACCCTAAGCATATAACTAGTTAATTCCTGCCTTTACCCCTGGGTTAGACTGAGGAATCTCCATTTTTACTCCAGAGTAAGACAGGAGAATCCCTCTGCGAATCTCTGTTTTCAGCCATGAATTAGAAATAGATATTGAATTTCAGGTATAATGCGAATATACCTGTCTAGGGCAAGAGAAAGTACTCATCCCTCTAGACATGATTGTTATTCCTAAGTTAGAAAAGACATACCAAGCTCTTCTCCTGTCTCATAGTCAAACTTGTACATTTTAAAGTCCTCTCCGCCTGCCACAAACACTTTCCTTGATGAATGAAGTGAAGCAGAATTGATCTGAGTCGGGGCCTCAAACTCCTTTATCTTCTCCAAACTAAAGAATAAAAAAACACATGAAGTTAAAATTTATCTGCACAGCAAATAATTCCGGAGAGTCTTTTAGATACTGACCTTCAAAAGGGCATCTGAATAGTAACAAACAATATCTGGAAAATCCTATAACAATACCAATGACGAAAATATAATCTATATAAATGGTGCAAATTGCATTATCTTTCATGGAAAACCAATACTAATCATATTTAGAGCATGATTATCTAAATCCAGAACATGTTTACAAGACATGAATACAAGTAGGAAGCAGTGCCTAACAAATTTCTTTAAATGTTATAGTAACAGTGATCTTGATTCATGAACTTATTCAAGATATTCTATTATATTGTTTGTCCTTTGAGTAAAATTTGGTCAAAATTCTTCCTTATGAAATGAAGTTACTTGAGAATTAGCATCTGAGTGATATCACTGGCTTGGTTGATGATTTACTCTTAATATGTGCTATGACTCTGATGTTGAAGTCAAAAAACTCAAACCGTTCTAGATATTGTCATACCTGATCTATGCATAGTGTTTGAGAAAAATCTCCATTATTTTAAGTAATTTGCCAACAAGGCCTTTTCTATGAATGCATATATCCACATCAACATCTACTTTATATGATATGGATTGTCTCCCTTGTTTAAAAAAAATGTAACATGAAGACTGAAGTACTTCATAATTCAATATTTCTTGTGGAAAACTGAGTGATGTTCTAAATGAATCTGAAGGATCATGCATAAATAAAAATCAAAGTGTGGAGACAAGATATCACTATCTTGTAGATTAAACATGCCCCAGATCACGAAGTTGCCTACAGATGTTTATACATCTGACATAGGTAGTTGCATGTTGCAAATCAGCAGTTTTTATCACATCACAATGTCCACAAAAGATCTCTACCCAATGTATTGTGTCATTTATGGATACAATCTATGTATCAAAGATTGAAGGGTTTGGCCAAGATCTTACGTTTCTGCATTATAGAAGCTGGTGAAGTTGCCATGGGTAATGAGGAGCAGCAATTGGTCGTTTGACAGTTCCAGGCTGTTGGGGATTGCAGAAAACTCCAGCTTTTTAATCTCTTCACCATTTGAAGCATCCCACAATCTGCCACAGAATATCACAGCATGATAATCTATATGTAACCATGGGACACTTACAATGAACCAGGTCTCACATCACAAATTTGTGTCTGTGATAGTTTGTATTACAATGTCAAAATCCTTTTATGATATAAATGATGCAATTTAAATCACATTAGATTCTTAACATACCTGACAGTTTTGTCATCTGAGGCACTGATCACCTGAGTGTTACATTTGGTAAATATGGCTGTTCTTATATTGGAGGTGTGTCCATTTAAACAAACTTTGGCATCTGCAAGCAAAGAAAAATAAACACTTTGAGTGGCATGAATGTCCCCACTGGCAAAAATTAGATGTAGTGAGGTTCATTACATCAAAGGCTCTTTAAAATTTTGCACACATATCTTTTCATGCTGTGTCAAGTATTGGTTCACAAAAGTAGTGACTACTGGGACTTGAATAATTGAGTCCTAGACTCATGCTTTTCATGTGGAACTGAAATTTTGGGACCCCACTATATCTCTTAGTATTGAGACTCATAAAAATTTGGGAAATGTTGTTCTGGACTTGGACATAAAAATTTGGGAAATGTTGTTCTGGACATGGACTTGCCTTAAAATTCTAAGAAAGTTAATAGGAAAAGCTAATGACTGGAGTTAATTATAGCTGACTTTGGACTGACAATACAACAACATATCCTGTTTCACTTCAGTATCCCCTAAAAACACTGATAAATGAGTGTAAACTTGATTGTACAAGAGTCATAATTCTTTAAAACTTCAGCTGATCAAAACCGGATATGAACTTGAACTGCATCTTAGACTTTAGATTTGTATGAGTCAAAAGCCTAAAATTTCATGTCTAAACTATCCTTGCCCTTCAATGTAACTGATCTTTTCACTATTCGTCCTAGCCATTTCATGACACAGGCATAAAAATGTTCTCTATAATATTTACAACATTGGAAATAACTTCCAAAATGAAAAATATCTTCATCATGTCATCCACTGTAAACAATTTTAAATTATGTTCTGCTTGAAAATAATTACTATGCTAAATTAGACTGACAATGTATTAATCATTAGGAAAATGATTACCAGCTTCTGGTCTCTGCAGATCGAATACCCTCAGCATCTTCTCATTACTGCCAGTAAGTAGTAGATTACTGTCTGTTGAAAAATCAACACTTTTGACAATATGTTTGTGGTTAAATGTATGCAGTTCTTCTCCACTGAGGGCATCCCAAAGTTTCCTGTAATGTAAACAATTAAGATTTTTTTGTGGATTCGATGTTGCCAAAAAAGTAGTTGGTTCTGATGATTGCACAAAAGACACGAGTGAATAGCACATTTAAATCCATTTTAGAGCTAGATACAGTAGAGCAATAACAATTAATTATACTGCACAATACAGCTGTTTCATCCTTCCTGAACTCATCAGTGATGCTAAGGTCCTGAATTTTTGAAGACCGTGAAGTGACTAAAGAAAATCCAAAGAAGATGAAAGGAAAGTCAAAATATAGATGCACTTGCCTCATAACTCAATAACTTTCATAATTTCCATACACCAGACAATTTTAGAACAAAGTCAAGTACATGTGTATATTCTTAACCATACCACTGCCATTTTTCACTTTAATATATACAGCTTGGGAGTAGATCAAAGCTGAATGTTTTATTCTTAAAAATAAATGTTCAACTTGCAATAACTCTACCAGGGGCCACTTTCTTACAATACAGTGTGATGATCACTATCTTACATTAAAAATTGTAAACGAGTAATATGTAATGGACAGTCATGGTGAAAATATAAACCAAACAATTACAAGAACACACAAGATTAATTAAATACATAGATATCTGCTTCTAGTTAATACCACAGTAACACTGAAAGATACTTTGTATTGTTTTTTTTTCCTGATAAGAACTGCTGAAGTATACATCAAGTACATCTTTTTCATTGTTAAAAAATATTACTCATTCTGATTAAGTGAAAAGTGATGAGTCATCTTTGTTCAAAAGTGACATTATCACTTCTTCTGACTGATACAAAAGCAACACAATATTTTAGTTCAACAGGACATATTCTCGCTTTTGTTTATTAATCATATATTTACGCTGTGAAATCAGCTGCTCCTGTCGCTACTTTTGTGGCTTCTCTGTTAAGTGTCGCTCCCCATACAGCTCCTTTATGGCCTTCAAATGTTCCAATCCAATCTCCAGTGTCACCCTGACGAAGCATTGGCTTTCCATCTAGGTCAAAAATAAATTTAAACCAATTATTTCAAAACAATATCACATGCAAATACATGTACATAATAGAAAATAAGTGACCGTTTGTCCTAAAAGATTTGAAAATGCTTCCATGGTAACTTTTGCAATATATTATTGAAAGTTGCATTAATTCATGTCAGGTTGAGTTTTTTTTTACAAAAGATGTTTACTCTAAGTGATGGCAACTGAGAAACTGTAACGGTTCCTGCCATAACTGTACTATTGTAACATAAGCCATATAAGTGAGAAGTACTATTTTCGGTAATTTGCAGTTGTATGATCTATAATGACTAATTAAATGCAACTTGGGCAAAAATTTTGAAAAAAAAGAGAGGCTAAACTTGATTTCAGTTTTTTTTAAGTCACAAACCAATACCCCAATTGGCGTAAAATAGACCAGTTTGGATATTATTCGCAAATGTGGTTTTCTCTGACATGGTAAGTGTCTATTTCAAAACAACCAAACTATATGTTTCCAATGTTATATCATCAGGGTGGGACAATCCTTGCAAACAATCATTTCAAAAAGATATATAAACCATACACTGCCTTTTGTTTTTGTTGGAGAAAGGCGTCAGGGGTTTGGTAACAGAACACACCCTTACAAAGCATATGGATATTTTAATTTCAAACATCCTGAAAGTAATACTCCAAAGACATTATGAAGCACGATTAGATATTTGTTAATGTTATTTCCTTTTCTTCATTGAAACATTAGCTACGTATTGTACATGCTGAACCATATGCTTTGGTCTTTTAAATAAAAAAATGCTGAAATGGCTTCTTCATGGTGATCATATATTGCCAACTCTGTATATGTAAATGCCCTTGTACACAACATCAGAGGATTTACCTTTACATGCACTGACGAGGAAATAACCAAACGGGGTTGATTCACTGAAAGCAAGGTCAGTGACAGGCCTGGTATGACCACTGCACGTAAGAGGAGTCTGTCGCATGCCTGTCATGGTGGCAACTTCTTTAGGACCTTAACTGTTTTCGATTGCATAGGTAAAAAACCCAAAGGGGTTCCAAATTGCCGGAAATGAACGATTCGGAATATGAATCAGTCTGGAAAGTCACGAGAGATCACAAAAGACGGAAGTTCATTGCGCAAAATCAGAAGATGGCGGCAAATTTTAGGAGTTCGCTTTGACAGACTGATAAGTTACGGCAATAATGATCTGAAGTTGAAGTATTATTAGTTTATACGCTGAATCAACAAAAAGACCATGGACAACCTGGTAAGCATCGTTGATAGTTTCCGATTTGTTCAGGTTTTGAGGTGTTATCAATGTTTACATGGACAAAGCTTAGAAACAGTGAAACAAGCCGGGAAAATATCGTGTTGCAATAACGATATTGATCGTTTTAGTAAAACTGCCCGCAATTTCGATCTCTACTCATCGTGATCAGACATTGACAGACCTGTGTAATATTCCAACTTTCAGAACTAATACCCTTAGTCGTAAATCCCATTTCCACGTCTCCGTGCTATTTCACAAGGCCGTTTCACGTTTGTATACTTTGTATGTTGGGACTACCATGCCATCAGATTATAATCAAAATTATTACTGCTCTTCAAAATCAAGGGGAAAGAGCTACAATCCATCATGCTTCCATCCTCTCCCAGTATACACGATAACTAGACACACATGTCCCTTGTCACATAGACATACTACAATACACATACAAATACTACAATGCACATACAAATACTTTACATCTACCAATTAATAGCATACATCAACTTAGTGAGGATTATGTCACATGTTCATGTAGTACTTGGAAAGGAAGGGGACATGATTTAATGCTGATGAGTGAAGATATAGCTGATTTGAAGAAAAGGAGGGAGTCAGAGGAGATAATTTCAGAAGGGAGGTTGTTCCAATTCTTCATTGTGTTCAATTAGGACCCATTCTTTCCCGATGGATGTCCTACATGAAATGGGGTGTAGATGTTTAGTGGTTGCAGCGATGGCTTTTATGTAGTCTTTTCTGCAATCTGCAAGACTACATCATTTCAGATGTTCTAACATGTTGCCAATGCTGGAGGTGTCACAATAGCGATGGACAATGAAAAAGAAAGCTCTGTGAAAGAAAAATTTCTGATTGATCAATGTTCTTGTTGAAGGTCCCACACTGGACTAGCATATGGAACCTTAGGGTAGAGCAGGGAAATATTGGACTTTTACCATTGAAACATTCAGATTACACCCGAGGGTGAATTACAGCTGAGGGTGCACAAATTGACTTCTTTGGTGACAGCATTTGTATGTGAATTCCTCTTTAGGACAGAGGTGGTATGACCTTGAAACACAGGGATGGCATATGGGTTGTCTGTTCTTAGTAATAGAGATAGGACAAGTTGGCATTTACCAGGATGGAAAGCAATTTGCATTTTTTCACCCAGAGAGCTAACTGATAAAGATCTCTTTGCAGAGAGTGGACATCTCTCTGTGATGTTACTTTCTTATCTATACATGATGATATCAACTGCAAAGAATCTGATAGAAGATGTTATACACTCAGGGATTTTGTTAATGATGTATGAGAAAAGACTGATTCTTAAGACTGAGCATGAATCTTTACTCTTTCTCCCCACATACAATCACACAAGGAAACATTCTTTGTGTAGCAGCAGGACAGTCCACTGCACAAAACAACTGGGTACATATCCCCTATGTAGCCCTTCAAAACCCTTATACACTGATGCACCTCATCAGATTTCACCTTTTACCTTTTAAAATTATGAAAAAAAATTGATGTAATTCAACCCATTCTTCCACATCTTTGCACAACATTTAGGAGAGCATTTAAATCATCACTATTGATGAAGTTCTTATACCTTAAGGAGAAGAGGAGAACTGTTACATGACATCCAGAAAAACTATCAGTGTGAAATGATACTGTATATATTTTTATAATTTACATAATTCACAATGGAAATTTTCTGTAACCATTGGTTAAAGCTTTTATCCCCTGTCACTGTTTACATTTTGTAGATATAGATATTGATGCACACCCACAGAGCAGTATGACTTACACAGTGCAAAATTTTCCACTTGATAATATGTTACAAGTAAGAATTGTAATGTGTCAAATCTTAATTCAAGTTTCACAAATGAAAGAAAAATTATATTGTTTATAATAAAAACTATATACAGGTATCTAATTGCACTGTATAATATGTCAATGAAATTTTCTTGTTTACCTTATGTATGTGTAACATGTAACTTGATGGCAGTGGTGTATACAATTATTTTCTTTCAATATTCTGGCACATTCCATAAGAAATATCTATAAAAGATTCTGAACTATTGTAACCCTGGTAAACTACTAGCCACAATATATCACTCGGCTAGAGAGAATTTCTCTTTAGCTTGATTGGTTGAGCGTCAGGCTAGTAAGCCACATTCCTAGTGGAGGCATTGAAATAAATAATGACCTCTGTTACACTATGATAACACAAATCCAAACTTGTTTCACTTTGGAATATATTTGTACTTGTATATATGTTGTGTTACGAACTATGTCATTTGTATTTTTGAATTATTAGCCACTTTGGACGAGATTGTTAACTTATTTATTTTATTTATATGAATGTATCAAAATGAATTTCATGAATTTGCAATAAGATTGACTTGTATAACAAAATTGGCCACACTTTCTCTAACCATTATTTCTAACTTACAAAATTGGTTTGTCACTCATTCAGATTTATCTTTTGTGTGTGTAGGAAACTTTGACAATTACTTTTACTGAGTAGAACAAAACATTATGTATACTTCTCATTCTTCATGAACTTAATGTCTACATTCAGAAGAATGTGATTTAAGGAAAGCCTTGTGATCAGGTGAAACATGTTTTATTGGTTGTTACAGGTGGATGATAATGACAACAACTTCAGTTCACTTGACCTGTATGATGACCTGATAACAGATGAGGGACTCATTCGTCAAGACAACTATGATGAGGTACCAGGATTTTTCTATAAATAATGTACTGGGTTTTGTTCAATTGTGCATGCTCATAAGCAAGGTCTTATAATAATTGTTTATGATGTAATTTGCCCAGGTACCATTTTGTGCTAAATTCAAATATATGTCTATGTAACGCTATAAGATGAAAAATCGGTTTGTTACAACCTTATCATCACACTGGTGCCACACAATGTAAAATTTTCTGGTGTTATAAGTACCCTACCTGAAACCGATATTGGTCCACCTTGATCAGAAAGTGTGTCATATATCAAAAGTAGGTCACAATGACATACATTTTAACCTTGGATCTATATCAGAGAAAAAGTTTGTCCTGGTCCTATCTCCCACAGTACTCATTTTGACCCTTGACCAACATCAAAGAAAAAGTTTGTCTGGCCACTATCTTCTACATTATTAAACATGGGAATATAATAAATGGGAAATTGATTCATCATCTTTGTTGAACTTTATACTTGGAATAATGGTTCTTCTTGGTGAGATGCTTTGTCACATATCAAAAAGTAGGTTGCTTTTACCAACATTTTTACCCTTGACCTACATCAAAGATTAGTTTTTCTGGGTGCTATCTCCAGTTATTGTCACAGGAACTTCATGCATGTACTTAGGGCATGGTTTGCTGAGGTGGTGTCATTTATCAGAAGTAGGTCACATCCTAATTTTGTCCTTATACTTTGTATATGTGTTCACCTTGGTGAAACAGTGTGTTGGTTGGAAACTATTTCATTTAATTATCTAGGAACCTAGAGAAATTATCAAATATTTTACACTGAAAAATCAGTCATTACATGATATTTTGATTATTTTTTGTATATATGCTAATGGTAACAGCGTAGATTAGTAAAATCTGTTAATGTAGCCACAAAACATACAGTATATTAGGCTTTGACGTTTCATTTATTACATATATTCATTATCTTCTGTTACAGTTGTCTAGAAAATATGATGATGCTGTCCTGAAGATTAAACAGTTAGAGTCAGAAGTGGATACCCTGAGGAAATCAGAGTCTAGACTTACTGAGAAATGTGATACTCTTGAGAGGAACATTTCCTCTCTGTTTCTGACTGCACGCCTGGAACTAAAGCGCAAGGATAACATTATACAACAAAACAAGTTCATGTATGACTTGATTTTTTAACAATTTATAAGTCTAGGGTTTTGAAAACGATGATTTACAAACCTAGTTTAAAAAGTTCTATAAAAGATAGGATTAAAAAAAGTTGGTATTTTCAACTTGTATGTGCATTAAATAAATCACATTTTGTCTAACTGTAATGAGAATCGTAAATCAAACATGGGCTAAAGTATGGTGTCTATATATGATAAATAATCAATACGATATTAATCATTATTTTCATCTCTTCTGTGCCTGACAGTGATCTATACACAGTGCAAAGTGCCTGTTATACATGGGTTAAATATTAATTAAGATGAATGGTCAGATGGTACATGTGACATCATAGTGTTACTTCATTTGACCATGTCTTGTTATTAGAACAGTAGTGCAGAAGGCAGGCACTTCACACACAATCCAATTTTCTTTTGCAATATTCTTGGTTTTTTTTTTTTTTTTTTATTCAGGTTTTTATCAATAGTCACATACATCAATCACATCACATGCATAACTACATGTCATACATTGTACTTGTATCTAAATTTAATGCATATAATATAAAATATTACAGTGCATATGAAAACAAAAAAGTACATACATGTTGACACTGTGTTAACAATACATTGGAATACAATAATTCACTAATTTATTAACTGATTAATAAAGATCCATTTGTTTTGAATAATTTCTTGTTTTCTAAGGCTGTATCTATATAACCCAATGTCCTCTATTTTTTTATATTGAGAAATATATTTCTTGCATTCAGGAATAGTTACAGTTTTATTTTTTAATTTACACAAAAATATAAAGTATTTCATAAGAAGCATTAAAAAATTGATTTCATATCTGCAATATTCTTGATGGGCAATAAAACACCACCAAAACACAAGGTACATTGTATTATTTGATCTAATATTAATTCTATAATACTGCTAAACACATAGAAGGGTTATGATTTCAGGATAGTCAATCACATTTGATAAGTTTTCTTGCTTAGAACAGCTGTTACCATTATGGAAACATTTTGATTAAACATTAAATATGATTATACATGGATAAAAGACAATGTTTATTTCGACTAGTCACTTTTGGAGGCATAAAAATTATAGCTTTGTAATACAGGTACAAGTCACTGTGTTATGTAATACATAGATCACTTATGTACACAGTATTCCATTTTGTTTATTTTGTGATTATAACAAATTCATTAAAAGTGAAATAACACATTAAGACCAAGTAGTGTCACAAGTGATATATACATTGTAATTAACATATGGCTTCATTCAGTCACACTTTCCTCTGTCTTGAGAGACTGCTTGAGTTATGCTTTCCCTAAGTTAAGATATCTCCTTTTCACCACTTCAGTTTTTGTTTAAGCTAAATTTGGTCCTAAAATTGATAACAATCATCATTGAAAACCTATAGTAAAATATGGTAAAAATCATACATTTTCCTGAAAATTTCTAATGTTGGTCTCCAGTTTGTGTCCAGTGCACCATATAGATATATTTTATCTTCATGCAGAATTCCTCCTCACCTAAAAGTATAATGTTTTATTACATTTTATAATCACCAAATTTCTAAAAAATAATTTAGTTACAAGCAACTGTTTTCAGTTACTCTTGGCATAAAAGCTTTTGAAATAACTGTCCATTAATATGGTAACTTTCGGACATTGTCATTTAGGCACACACTGTAACTATATAGTTGAGTCTGATAATTATGCTGGCTAATTTCAATCCCCCTCATAAAAAAGCAGACAGAGTAAAATGCTTGATTTATTTTGCTTTCATAACAACACTACATAAACAATACACTATGTATGTGGGTTGGTGGGCTTTAAAACAATTTTGAATAAATAGGCATGGCATGAGCAGGTATTTGTAATAAGTTAAACAGAAGCTCGCTTGGCAGTGGTGGCATCTGACACTCTGACCGTCTTTATTACAAGCCCTCCATGTCTGGGTCACAGGTTTGAAGCCAGGAAGTAGCCACAGGTTGTTGGTTTTCCTCTGGGAACTCTTGCTTTCTGCGACCACCCAAACCTGGCGCATCCTTAAATGATCCTGGTTTTTAATAGAGCTTAAAACAACAATAAACCTTTCCTTGCCACTGCATTAACACTTAGATGTCTCATGTCACCTGATCTCATTCCAACTGCAAAATATACATACACCAGAGTAAGGTAAATAGGATGAGAGGGACAGGATCTCAGGATAACATTATTGTGTCATTTTAGCCTAAAATAAAAAATGAAAAAACTGTGTAAGGATATTTAATTAATATTATTGTATCATGAGATTATCTCCCTTCCTTCATGTATATGTATTCAGCAAGCTACTGTCATTTTACTGATTATTGATTTGATTTACTGATGAAAAAAAGTTTGGATAGGTTTTAAATTAACTCCTTCTGGTTCAGTTGTGTGAATCTCAGTGATGAATATCAAACATATGACTTTATATTCTGAAATTTCGATTATTAAGGAAAAGAATATGTGTAAAGGCAATCAGATAGAAACAATCAGCATAATTTTTTTTATATTAGTATTATGCAACTGATAATAATTCAAATATTTATGCAGTATTATTTATGTAATTAAGCTACTGTGTTCATATGAGTAATATATATTTTTCCTTTCTTTTAAGGAGAGAACCAAGAACCCAAGGCAGACCTACATCTGATGCAATTCCAAGGTTCAACAGAGGTGATAAGAGAAATCACCGGGAATTTCCTGAAAGTGGAAAAAGTAGTGTTTCAATCACAGCAGGTAACGGAAATACTAAAAGACGTCTTTCCAGTGATGACAGAGAGGAAAAGGTTCAGAAAAAACGCAAGTTCTTGGACAAAACTGATAAAAAGAAGGAGGATAATGCCACAAAATGTGATCTTTCAGGACCAGATAACTGTAGACAGAGTGCTGCTAAAAAAATACTGGAAAAGAGTAAGAAAGACATTCAAAGGAGGTTGAGTGGGGGAAGGTCATCAATACATTTAGATACTGAGCATGGTGAAAAACGTGATAGAGAGAGGTTTAAAAGAGACAAGGAAGATAGATGTTCAGAGAAAGAATTAAGTAAATTTAAAAAGAATGAACGACATGAAAAGAAACAAAAAAATACTATGGAGAACGAAAACAGAGGTGAATCAAAAAGAAAAGACAAAAAACACTCTGAATCCACCCTTGGAAAAGACCACTTCACTGAAGATAATGTGAACAAGAAATCAGGTTCAGGAATATCTTGTGATTTAAGGGAAAAACTCCGACTTAAAAGATTGAGAAATGAAGAAAATTCTAAGAATACTAATTCCCTGGAAAGTAATATTTCAGTGGATCCTCAATCTTCTAACCTTATGACTGGTGAACGATCTTTGTCGCCATCAAAGGAGAAAATAAAATCAATTGTGAAAATTTCATCACCAAAGGATACTAACAATAGATCTAGAAATAAATGGATTGAAGATAAATCTTCTCAGTATGCCCCTATGTCCAAATCCTGTGTTTCAAAAGAGAAGAATGATGAACTATATAGGAAAGCTGATCATTTGTCACCCATTTCAAAGTCAAGAATGGACTGTGAAAAGCAGGTCACTACAAACAGAAAGCTCCAGTTAGTCAGAAAACATGACTCCGACAAACTGAATAGTCAGTCAACAGGTCATCAAGGAACAGTTACTTCAAGCAAACTTTGTGCAGACAAAACTTTACATTCTGACCAATCTTGTCCTATTACATCTGTGAAGAAGACACCTTCACTTGATAAACTTACAAGCAGTCAGAAAATACCTCCAGCACAAAGGAAGGAAGTTGGTGGTCAAATTAAATCAGGGGAGACAACCCTGGCTTATGAATTCAACACAAGATCAAGGCATAGTTCAAAAGGCAAACAGACAGAAAGAAAAAAGCATGAACAAGACAAAGCTTCTATCAATACTTCTCAAAGGAAAAAAGTTGAAGTGGTAAAAGATTTGAATGAACCAGATAACCAACAAACAGATGTGTCATTTGGAAACATTAAACCTTTTCAAAATCATGGAGTCAACATGGATGAAAAATTTGCTAATTATAAGCTAGAAAAGAAATCAGGTAGCTCTCCAAAATTAGAGTTTGATGAACTGAAAAAGACAGTGAAAGTTGATCCAGAGGTCAGTAGCTCGCAAGCCGTTGAACATCAACAAAATACATTTTGTAATAATGTTTCTACTACTGAGTGCCACAACTCAGTGGAGGATGTCAGAATGTCAGCAAAACATGTACATGCTCCTTTATCACCGAGAAATGTGAAGCAGAATTCAGAAGGATTGAAGGACTCTAGAAAAGTTGAGACAGAATATAACCTTTCATCTCCTGTCCAGAAGAGACAAGAGAAACCGGAACTAAAAACTAAGGATCTATCTGTTACAAAAAGTGAACATGTCACCCCTTTGCCTAATGGGAAGAAAAAAGATAAACTGAAAGAGAAAGTCAAGGGTGAAATACTTACTCCAAGTAAACACAGACACTTGTCCCAGGATAATGTAAATGACTCGATTATACCATCAGTTTCTAAATCACAAGTTAATGTTTCACCAGGCAGTAAAGAAAATACCAGCATGTGTGTGGGATATGTAAGTGACGAAAAAGATGACCGTTCACAAACTCAGTTATCAAAACCAGAGAAATTTCTAAACAAACCAAACACAGATGTAGTGCAGATTTGTACTATACAGGAAAATCTAAAAGACATTGAAACCAAGAAAAGTGTACCAAGGAAAGACAAGCTTCTTGATATCTTTGTGTCGGAGAAAACCAAGGAGAAACTGAATAGTAAATCAAACTTGGATGTTAATGACATGACTATTTCAGCCATTAGACAGCAGCACGATCATGATTACAAGTTTGTGAAGAAAGAAGACTACCAAGAAAATATTTCTGAATCAGGTGGTTCTGTAAAGGAATTACTCAGGTCGCAAAGACCATCTGGTTTGACAGCAGAGGCATCAGAGATTGGAAGTGAAGTACCTAAATCTTTAATTGTTGTGTCACATGGAACAGATGAACTGGCCCCTGAGACAATGGAAATTGTAAAACAAGATATTGAGTCACACAGAATGGAGAAACTGGACGTTAAGTCACAGGAAATCCAGAAACCACATCCTGAATCACAGGGAAAGGAAACAATAGACATCAAGGTACAGGGAAAGGTAAAACAAGGGTCAAATAGAATGGAGAAACCAGATTCTGAGTCACAGGGAATGGAGAAACCAGATTCTGAGTCACAGGGAATGGAAAAACCAGATTCTGAGTCACAGGGAATGGAGAAACCAGATTCTGAGTCACAGGGAATGGAGAAACCAGATTCTGAGTCACAGGGAGTGGAGACACTAGATTCTGAGTCACAGGGAGTGGAGACACTAGATTCTGAGTCACAGGCGGTGGAGACACTAGATTCTGAGTCCCTGGGAATGGAGAAACCAGATTCTGATTCAAAAGGAGTGAAGAAACCAGATTCTGAGTTAAAAGGAGTGAAGAAACAAGACATTAGATCTCAGGAAATCAAGAAATTAGAGAGTGAAATACAGAAAGTGAAAGATCAAGATGTTGAGCAACAGGAAATGGAGAAACAAGATGTTGTATCACATGAAATTGATAAGCTATACTATGAGCCACAGGGAATAGTGAAACTAGATTCTGAACCACAGGGAATGGATATACCAGGCTCTGAGCAACAGGAAATTGAGACCCTGGATTCGGAGATGCAAGAAGTGGAGAGACAAGACATGAAGACACAGCAAATTGAGAATTTAGAGAGTGAATCAAAGAGAATGGAGAAAAAAGATGTGAACCAGGGGATGGAGAAACTAGATTCTGATCCACAAGGAATTGAGAAACTAGATTCTGATCCACAAGGAATTGAGAAACTAGATTCTGAGACTCGAGGAATTGAGAAACTAGATTCTAAGTCACAGGTAATAGAGTCACTAGATTCTGAGTCAGATGGAGTGGAGATATTAGATCCTGGGTCACAAAGGGTGGAGAAACTAGAATCCGAGCCTCAGGAAATAGAGATACTAGATGTTGAATCATTTGGAGTGGAGAAACTAGATTTTGAGCGACAGGGAGGGAGGAAACTAGACACAGAGTTGCTAGAAACGGAGAAATTACTGGACACTGAGATTTGTGAAATGGGCAAAATAGATACTTGTGCACTTCAAACAGATAAATTAGACTCTCAGAATAATAGAATGGATAAACGAGAAATTGATAATAAGGAGAGTTTGTTTTCAATAAATGAAGAATGTTATAGAATACCACTAGAGACCAAAGAAAGTCCAGGTAAAAGCAGCAAGGGACAGTTGATTTTGAATGATGTTGGAAAAGACAGACTACTCAACACTGATAATGATTTAAACAAGGATAAAGATGTGGTGGATGATACAGCAGCAATGAGAAAAAGATCTATATCATCTGTACAAAGTGACTCTACCCTAGAGAGCGACCTTGAGTTGAGCTCAGATAGTGAGTCGGAGGAAATGTCTGATGAAGTTCAGGCAAACTCCTCCTGTGAAGAAAATCAGAATAGAGATTCTGAAACTTATTCTTCAGACACAAAAAGAAGTGTGTCAAACCCAGACAAAGTTCATCTGGATCTGAATAATTCTGTGGTTAGTTACACATCAGAATCAGGATCTGACAGAGATGAAGAATATAGTGAGGGAGGAAGTCAGTCAGATGTTACTGACATAGAAACTGGAGAAAATTCCTCTAAACCTGATGTATCACTGACTCCAAAACAAATTATATCTGGAGAAGTGATTCAAAGGAGAGAGCAAAGCAAACTAGAGATATTCAAACCAAAGCAGGCTGATCTACTGCAGACTACTGATAGAAACAATGACAATGAGGATCTTGATTATGAATGCGAGTCTGACAGTTCCTCACTTTCTTCTGAGCAAGGAGATGAGAAATCAGGAATTGATCGTGAACATATGCACAAAATTGGTGAGAAACTAACTGAGGATGATTTACAAGATGAACTCATGCTTTGTGTGTCGCCCTCAGAAAGCATGGAATTTGACACACTGGAAAATATTGAAGAAACTATTGATAAAAATGTTAAAGGCAAGAGATTTATCTCACCAAAGAAAACGCTTCTGTACAGCAGATCAGAACAAGAGGATGACCAGAAATTATCATCAAAGCAAAATGTTCACAGATCTCCAGTGGCTACAGAAATGTCCAAAAACCAAGGAAACGTGCACAGACTGAATCGGAGAAAGCCAAGCAATGACTTTATGCCATCAAGGGAAAATGATAATGTAGTTCATGATGTGAAGAGAAAAAGTGAGTCATACAGTAAGGGTGTGGGTGATGAAATCATTCTTGACTCTCATCAGTGTTTTGATGAGGAAAGACTGAAAGAAAAAGAAAGGAAAAGTGAAGTATCGGCCAAAATTAAATATGAAAGACGAGACAAGAATCGTCTTCCTGATAATGAAAGAATATCAAAGAAAAAAGAAAGGGAAAAGACATCCAAAGATCGTCATGATGATATAGACAGGATATGTAAAGGTCGTCATAGTGATGAGGAAAGGATGGAGAAATATCGTCATAGGGATAGAGACAAGATATTAAAAGATCGTCATAGTGATAAAGAAAGGACATGTAAGGATCGTCATAGTAGCAAGGAAAAGACTTGTAAAGATAGTGACGAGGAAAGGGTACAGAAGAATCATAGGGATAAAGACAGGACATCTAAGGATCGTCATAGTGACATGGACAGGACCTGTAAGGATCGTCAGAGAGATAAAGCCAGGACATCTAAGGATCGTCATAAGAAAAGGACATGTAAGGATCCTCGTAGTGTTAAGGAAAGAACAGCAAAGGATCCTCACAGTGATAAAGAAAGAACATATAAAAAATGTCATAATGATGTTGAAAGAATACGTAAGGATCGCCACAGGGATATAGACAGGACATGCAAGGATCGCCACAGAGAAAGGGAAAGGTTATCAACTGATCGCTATGGGAAGAAAGAAAGAAAATACAAGGATCGTCATGGTAATACGGAAAGGATATCCAATGATGGTCGTCATTGTATGGAAAGGTCATCCAGGAATCATCCTATTGATACAGAAAAGACATTCACAGATCGTCATAATGATTTGGAAAAGATATCCAAAGGTCGCCATAGCAATACTGAAAACACGTTTAAATATTGTCATAGTGATATGGAACAGCCTTGTACAGATCGTCATAGGGAAGCAGTTAGACTCTGCAAAGATCACCATCATGATAGATATAGGGAGACATCGTCTAAGGAACATCTGTCTGATCATATGTCTGATAAGGAAAGTATTAACAAACACAAGGAACTGAGATTTAAGGAACAGTTGAATGTGAAAGATAGGACATTTAAAGTTCAGATGAAACCCAAGTATGACAGTCCTAAGATAGTGCGTACTGTAACTTCAGAAACCGTATTTTCTGCAGAGGGTTCGCATATTCAAATGGATACAATGGAATTGTATGATGATCATAAACAAGAGGGTGTGAACAATCGATTGTCACAGAGTGTAGATAGTACGGTATACCTACCTGACATAAAGGGTACAGATAATGTAACGATATGCCATACCGACACTGTGGATAACACAACAATATGTCACACTGTCTCTAGTGTTCATGGATATCCTAATACCCAAAGTAGGGACAGACCAAATCAAACAATGGCCAATAAGAGGTCCTCTGTTCTGAGTGAAACATGTCAAAGTACTATAGTGAATATTACTCGTACTGATTCTGATGATGAGGACATAGAAGTGCGTGTTACTGATAGTTCTAATAACAGTTCAGAAGGCTTCCTGTCAGATGTTTCTGAACCAGAGAAATGTGCTCGCGTAAGGACTTGGCAAGAAGTTGCCAAAGTATTTCGTGAAAATGTTGATAATATATACGTAGAGGAAATAGAACAGGAGGTTGAGGAGAAATCAGACAGTAATGACTGTTCCTCTGATTCTGAAAATAACAGCAGTGAGGATGACAATGAAAGTGATGACAGTTGTTACGCCATTGACACCAGTGATACTTTTGAGCTATGTAAAACGTCAGATATGTTTTCCAGTGGGGTAGGTGATAACTGTGAATCAAGCAGGGATATTATTCCTGAAAATGCTTCTAATAACCAGGATCCCCGTCTTCACAGTCTGCCAGAAACATACACTGATAATGCCAGTGACAATTTTTCGGATTGTTTAGGTGACAGATTTCATGATTTCCCAGTAAGCCTTCCTGGAAAAAGCATTGTGAAAGAAGAATCTTTGGAGGAGGGTGAAATTCTTACTGATTCTGAAGAAAAAGAACCAAACAATGAAAAGTCTAGAAAACCTGGTGAAATGATAACATCTCCAGGCAAAAATGTGATAAAAGCTGACAAACAGGGAAGTCAGCAACTTAGTGATGAATCATATCACCATAGAAACAGAATGGACAAATGTTCTGAGAGGCCATTGATTTCACCAAGGCCTTCTCCAAGAAAGGGGAGATCACAACGTGATGAAATGTATCGTAGAAAACATTTACAAACAGCTGTGAAAGTTCTCCAGAACAGGTCGCGAGATAGAAGATCACACAAAGTAACTGGTAAAAGTCCATTGACAGTACGGACATATGAGGATAATCGGGATATCAATAGGGCTAATCTTGAAAATCAAAACAAGCCAACTGGTGGTTTGGAAGATACACTTGCTGATAGAAAAAGGAAGAGGTCAGGGTCATGTGAACAGGGGTCAAAGATAAAACATGTCTCCCCAAGAAGATCTTGATTTAACAAATGTTTATAATCAGACTTTTATATTTTGTAAAGAATAGAAGAAAGATGTTCATATTTTTGGAAATATTGAAATGTAACAATGGCATCGTCTAACAAACCTTTGTCAGTAAAACTCGCCAGTACTGATAGATTGGTTATTAGATCTTGCACAGGTAATGTTCAGTGCAACACTTCTTAAAGTAACAGCTCTAATATACAGCTCAAAGTTTGAAGTTTTCAAAGTTAGAGGAGATCGAAGAAAAATGAAACATGAAGTCAAGAGACGATGAAGGTGCAAGGACAATAGTGTCTGTAAAATGCAACAAATCACATTTCTTTAAGGTGACTTAGGTCACTCACATCAGGATGCATTGCATAATATATATTTCAATGATTTACATTTTGATGTAAACATCATATGCAAGGAAATAAAATGTTAAATAAGATCAGAGAACAGAACAAAATAGCAAAACATCAGTAACTATATGAGGGAACTGAATAAGATGGAAGTCAGTATTAATTGAGGATTGTCATCTGCATATTTGTCAATGGTAGAAGAATCTTAACTTATTTTGTCATGTATTAAATTGTTTTTTAATAAATGTATGATGAATTATACTTTTTATTTTTATCATAGTAGACAATACTAGATGTATCAAGGGCAGTTTGTTTCAATGGAGAAAGTATAATTAATATTTATTCTGACAGGAGTAAGATTCTGAACTTAAAAGTTTTAAGGTTGATTCCTCTGTTAATATCTATGAGTAGCTTTAAAGAACTTTTGTCTAACACCTTTGAACTTGTGTTTTTTTCTTTATAGTTGTCTCTTTGAAGCTTTATAAGGTAATACTAAGTGCATTAATTCTTTTTTTAATTGAAGATGCTCCTATTTAATTATTCAGAATGTAAATCAAAAGTTTTAAGTTTCTCTATGCAGCTTCCAGTATGAAAGAGACTTGGCTGAATTCAATTGACAGCATGATCAGGAATATGTTTTGTCTGAAATCTGTAGTTCCCACTATTAGAAATAAATCATCCTGATATCACAGTGTGATCACATCACAACTCCTTTTGATTAGTGAATAATAATACAAAGTTAATAATATGATCATCAAGTATCTCGGGACGATATCAGGAAAGCTATAGGAGACAACTTTTATAAACAGAAGTCTCAATGTTAGAGCTGTCCACAGGAGATAATGTTAACAGGAAATATTTACAGTATAATAATCCCTATTGAGATAGATCACAATGTTACATAGGATTTCATGCTAAGTAAAAATAACATGTATCATATATATTTTGCTTCTTTGCCTTTGTTAAACTGACTAAAATTAAATCTGAATGATCTGTCTCCATATGAATGGAAGCTGGGTGACATGAATTTATTTATACAAATCGCTACTAGTCATAGACGACTTACAGGATTTTGACCAAATTTGGTCATAAGCATTCCAAGGGAAGAAGGAAGTTTTGTGTAAATTGTGGGTCACGGCCACCAGGACAACTCCAACTCCTGTAGGAATGACTGGATTTTGCCCAAATTTGGTATGAAGCATTGTTGGGTGAAAGGAAGTCAATTTTGTATAAATGGTAGTTCTCGGCCCTCTGGGGCCTGAGAGGTGATGCCTTATAGTGGAAACAAAGCAAATTCTTTGAAATCCTACTCCTAATGGCTGAAGTGGAATGAGTTTGTATAAAGAGCAGGTCTCGCCCACCAGGGCTGAAGGGGCGGGGCCCAACATTGAAAATAGTGGAAATGATTGGATTTTGGCCTAATTTGGTCTGAAACATTGTTGGGTGAAAGGGAATCAGTTTTGTATAAATGATAAGTCGAGACCCCCTTGGTTCTGAGGGGTAGTGCTCTACTGGGTTGATAGAGCAAATTATTTAATACCGGACTCCTCCTTTAGGAATGAGTGGATTTTGCCCAAATTTGGGTCTGAAGCATTGTTGGGTGAAGGGGAACAAAGTTTGTTAAAGGATTAGTTTTCAGTTCCCAGGTGCATTAGGGGCAGGGCCTAAAAAGGGGAAACTTTGCAAGTTCTTAAAATCTTACTCCTCCAATAAGAATAATTTGATATTGCCCCAATTTGGTCTTAATTGTTGGGTGAAAGGTATAACCGGTGCATCCCTGACCCTGGGGTAGGAGGGATTGGCCAGGATGGTAAAATGCAAGTTCTTAATAGTCCCTCTTCCATACAAGGATATTGTTCAAGCCTGGTCTGAAGCAATTTTTATGAATAGTGAATCTGACCTGTTTGACCAGAAGGGTGGGAACCAACAGGGAAATTATATTGGATATTGTTTTCTTATATTTGAAATTCTTTAATAAATGGCTGAATAGCTAAATTAGCCAGGTGAGGATGGAGGTCCCTTTGGCCTCTGTTTTTTTAAAATATTAATCCCCTGTATTCTTTTTGCTGAAAAGCATTATCCTCTGAATGGTTGATGTTAAGCTATATAATATGTATCATTTGAGGCAACATGCAAAGGTAGGTCAAGGTAGGTCAACATGGCAAAAAAATGGTGTTTCATTTTTGTCTGGTGATCTCCTTGGAGGCCATAATGCACAATGTTAATACATATACTTAAAGGACCAAAAAGGGGAACTTTCAATAAAACATGTTTGTGTAATAACTAGGTATCATGCTGTACAGTCTAACTGTTGCAGATCAAAGTTAATCACAGACTTCAGGTTAATAAAATCATTAATCTTTGTATAATACAGACAGTGGTATCTCAATCCAATTGTCTGATCAGGAAAGACAGTTTTCAGGAAATAAAATGAAAATAACAGTTTATAAAATGGCCCATTGCCAAGGTAATATATTTTGAACAAATCAAGTTGAGAATCATTTGTTGTTGCAAACTACAGTGTACAGTTTATATGTTTTTATTTTTTTACACTACGTAACAGCAATTTGAAAAGGATATGACTTAAAGCTAAGTTTTAAAGTCTACTATTGTGAGTTGATGGACTTTACAACATGTCTTGTCCGTGTCCCAAATGTCTAAGCACATGTCTTGCCATAACTCCTTCTCATAGAGACCATGTTTTGTCTGTTATCACTCCTTCTCATAGAGACCATGTTTTGTCTGTGTTATCACTCCTTCTCATAGAGACCATGTTTTGTCTGTTATCACTCCTTCTCATAGAGACCATGTTTTGTCTGTTATCACTCCTTCTCATAGAGACCATGTTTTGTCTGTTATCACTCCTTCTCATAGAGACCATGTTTTGTCTGTGTTATCACTCCTTCTCATAGAGACCATGTTTTGTGTGTGTTATCACTACTTCTTATAGAGACCATGTTTTGTCGGTCATCACTCCTTCTCATAGAGACCATGTTTTGTGTGTGTTATCACTCCTTCTCATAGAGACCATGTTTTGTCTGTGTTAACACTCCTTCTCATAGAGACCATGTTTTGTGTGTGTTATCACTCCTTCTCATAGAGACCATGTTTTGTGTGTGTTATCACTCCTTCTCATAGAGACCATGTTTTGTGTGTGTTATCACTACTTCTCATAGAGACTGTTTTGTCTGTGTTATCACTCCTTCTCATAGAGACTGTTTTGTCTGTGTTATCACTACTTCTCATAGAGACTGTTTTGTCTGTGTTATCACTCTTTCTCATAGAGGCCATGTTTTGTCTGTGTTATCACTCCTTCTCATAGAGACCATGTTTTGTCTGTGTTATCACTCTTTCTCATAGAGGCCATGTTTTGTCTGTGTTATCACTCCTTCTCATAGAGACCATGTTTTGTGTGTGTTATCACTCCTTCTCATAGAGACCATGTTTTGTGTGTGTTATCACTCCTTCTCATAGAGACCATGTTTTGTGTGTGTTATCACTACTTCTCATAGAGACTGTTTTGTCTGTGTTATCACTCCTTCTCATAGAGACTGTTTTGTCTGTGTTATCACTACTTCTCATAGAGACTGTTTTGTCTGTGTTATCACTCTTTCTCATAGAGGCCATGTTTTGTCTGTGTTATCACTCCTTCTCATAGAGACCATGTTTTGTGTGTGTTATCACTCCTTCTCATAGAGACCATGTTTTGTGTGTGTTATCACTCCTTCTCATAGAGACCATGTTTTGTGTGTGTTATCACTACTTCTCATAGAGACCATGTTTTGTCTGTGTTATCACTCTTTCTCATAGAGGCCATGTTTTGTCTGTGTTATCACTCCTTCTCATAGAGACCATGTTTTGTGTGTGTTATCACTCCTTCTCATAGAGACCATGTTTTGTCTGTGTTATCACTCCTTCTCATAGAGACCATGTTTTGTGTGTGTTATCACTACTTCTCATAGAGACTGTTTTGTCTGTGTTATCACTCTTTCTCATAGAGGCCATGTTTTGTCTGTGTTATCACTCCTTCTCATAGAGACCATGTTTTGTGTGTGTTATCACTACTTCTCATAGAGACTGTTTTGTCTGTGTTATCACTACTTCTCATAGAGACCATGTTTTGTCTGTGTTATCACTCCTTCTCATAGAGACCATGTTTTGTGTGTGTTATCACTACTTCTCATAGAGACTGTTTTGTCTGTGTTATCACTCCTTCTCATAGAGGCCATGTTTTGTCTGTGTTATCACTCCTTCTCATAGAGACCATGTTTTGTGTGTGTTATCACTCCTTCTCATAGAGACCATGTTTTGTCTGTGTTATCACTCCTTCTCATAGAGACCATGTTTTGTGTGTGTTATCACTACTTCTCATAGAGACTGTTTTGTCTGTGTTATCACTCTTTCTCATAGAGGCCATGTTTTGTCTGTGTTATCACTCCTTCTCATAGAGACCATGTTTTGTGTGTGTTATCACTACTTCTCATAGAGACTGTTTTGTCTGTGTTATCACTACTTCTCATAGAGACTGTTTTGTCTGTGTTATCACTCTTTCTCATAGAGGCCATGCTTTGTCTGTGTTATCACTCCTTCTCATAGAGACCATGTTTTGTCTGTGTCATCACTCCTTCTCATAGAGACTGTTTTGTCTGTTATCAA